GGGATGGAGGAGTCCCGGGCTGCCCAGCCCTGGGGGGTGCAGCTAGTCTCTGAGACTGGGGTGAGGGAGATGGCCTCTCAGTCAGAGGTTCCGGGAGGGTGAGGGGGTGTCTGAGGCTGGGCCCTGTCCTGTCTGTCCATGGTAGGAGAGAAGTGGATAGATGGAGCATTTGTGGCTGCCCCTTTCCCTTCTTGGAGATACCACCTTCCCAACCTCCAGTCCCTGGGCGCCCAGGGCTGTGCCCACTCACCAAAACCCGGGAAGGGCACTGGTCTGGACTCTGCAGGCATTGCAGAGGTTTCTGGTGGGGGAGAGACCAGCCCGGAGGGCCCCTGGCACTGGATTTGGAATAAAACGGGGGTGCTGGAATAATGGACGGACGGTGAGCTACGGAGGCACCTTGGCCTCACGGACAGAACTGCAGGCTTCACCCTCGTGGTTCAGGATTTGAGCTCTGGCTCCTCTTCCTACCAGCTGCACGGCCTGAAACACTCACTGACTCGGTGATCAGTAATTGTTCAGTACCAACTCATTCACTGACCCAGTGCTTCTCACCTGGGCTGGGCGATGTCTGGGGACATCTGTGGTTATCACAGTGGGGGCTGCTACTGCCTTTAAGTGGATGGGGCCACCCCACAGTGCCCAAGACAGGTGCCCACAGAGAGTGATCCATCCCCCAATGTCAGCATTGTATGTACAGCAAATGTACGACGGGGGTGGGGAGGGGGACCAGGCTGGGCCTAATCTTCCCCATCTGTAAAGTGGGGGTGCTGTTTTCCTCTCAGATTGTGCCTAGCTGGGTGTTAACCAAGGTGGCAGAAAGTGACAATGGTGGCCAGGGCCCCAGGGCTGGATCTGGGGAAGGAAATGAAGGCCCTTCAGGTCTGGTAGGAAGCGCCGGGCCCTTTCTGCTCCAGGGCACAGATTGCCTCAGGTGGCATCACCCAGTGGGTCAGACTCTGCACAGGCCTCGTTCACGCTGGGGCACAGGGCACGTCCCTCCCTGCACCTTATAGTTCAGATAGTTTTCTGTAGTTGTGTCACATTTCACAGCGAACAATGATTCTATGGGTGGTCTCCTGTGAAATTTACAGGTGGGAGCATCTTTAGTTCTTCAAGGTTCCTAGGGCAGAGTCTCAGCCAGCACTTGATCTGCTTGTCCCTCCCCCACCTTTAAAAAAACAACAGCTTTTAAATGATGTATTTATTAATGTAAAATTTTATTAGAAAGTAACAGCTTTGTTAGCTGTCATTCTCATGGTGTCCGCTCCGCCCATTTAAAGTGCCCATGTGCATCTGGTGTACTCTGAGTTGTGCAACCACCACCTCCATCTAGTTCCAAAACACTCTCTCTTCCCCAAAAAGCAGCCCAGTCCCTGTCACCTGTCACCCCTGTCTCCCTCCCTAGCCTCTCCCTGTGGCTGTGGCTGTGCCTGTTCTGGACGTTTCATGTAAATGGAGCAGCACACACTATGGCCTCTTGTATCTGGCTTCTCCTGAGTTCGAGGTCCACCCACGTTGTATTGAGTGTCCGTGCTTCCCTCCTTTTCACGGTCGAGTTATGTTCCAGTGCGTGTGGAGTGTTGCGTTGTCCATCACCTGTGTATGGACACTTGGGTTGTTCGCACTCTTCAGTGATTACTATGAATCATGCTGCTGTGGATGTCCATGTTCAGGTTCCGTGTTCAGGTTCCATGGATAGGTTTTGTGTAGATATGTGTTGTTGCTTCTCTTGCATGGATACCTAGGAGTGAGTTGCTGGGTCAGGTGGTAACCCTGCTTGCTTAACTGCCAGACCATTTTCCATAGCGCTGCCCCTTTGGTGTTGTCACCCGCTGGCAAAGTGTCCAGTTTCTCCTGGTCCTGGCCAGCACCACTGATTGTCCCTTCGGGTCACAGCCCTCCTCCTGTGTAGGGGTAGTTTGCCGCCCTTCGCACTGGAGTTCCTCTCGTCCTCTGGCTCGGTTATCTTTGGTTGACTCCTCCACCCCCACGCTCAGTGTCCATGTTTTACTCGGTTTCGGCCACATGGAAGGGCACGTCTGCCCAGTTTCACCAGTTGTGTGAAATGACCTAAACCAGGGAAACCAGGGTCTCCTCCCCTCTACTGCTCCCCATCGCCACCCCAGCACTGCTGCCATTGGGCCGGTCACTCTTGGGAGGGTGCTGCCTGGGCACCGTGGGGTGTTGAACAGCATCCCTGCCCCCCACCCACTTGATGCCAGGAGCACCCCCCAGCTGTGACAGCCACAGATGTCCCCAGACATCGCCCTGAGTCCCTGGGGGCAGGATCACCCAGATGAGAACGCTGGTTTAGGCATTTTTTATTATATATCTAGTCTCTGGAATTAAACCAAAGGCTTCTGAAAGACAGGACCTGGCCTCCCGCCCTGAAGTCTCCATTGAGTATACGAGGGTGGAGGGGCAGACCCTGCCGTGTTCCCTCTGAGCCCAGCAACGGGAGAGGCTCAGTTTGGCTGTGGTTCCAGAGGAATCTCTAGAAGGCCCGGGCTGAGGAGCCCTCCACACACAGAGACTCCTCCTGTGCCCAGAGACAGGCAGGGCCCAGCCAGAAGGAGGCTCCTGGGATCCAGGATGTGGCCCAAGCCATGACTCAGCTTTTTTAATCGTACTGAAATCCTCAGCAGCCTCAGGCCCTCTTGTCATCAGAGTTACTTCACCTTGGCCCAAGGATACAGTGTGTGTGTGTGATGGCTCACTCTCGGGCCCCAAGAAGGACTAGACTTGCCCTGGCCTATGCTCGCGGCACTAAGTTGGGTGCTGTGGTCAGAGTGGACATGTGCTTCCCTTTGGCTGAGGCCTGGCCTTGGCAGAGCCGACCTCAGTGGATCTGACTCCACTGGAGTTGCCCTGGGCCTCTGCAGAAGCTGTGAGGACCAACCAGTGTCCTTGGTTTGGGCTCATTTGCTACACGGCGTGTTGAGCCTGGAGGGCGGGCGTCCAGATGAGCCCAGCTGGCCACGCAGCACAGAAACAAGCTCCCACTGTTGAGATGTGTCCAGACCTGTAGAGGGACCTTATACAAATTTACTAGGGGTTTTTTGTGTGTTTTTTTGAGCCAAACTGAGGACATGCCTAGAAGCTAGTTCTCAAGGGATTGAGAAAATGCTCCAGAATGGCAGTTTGCAGTTCTTTTTGTGAATTTGGAATCAAAGGAGGGACAATAAGGAAGGCCATTGGTGGGAGATTAAGAAGAAAGGAAAGGGGGAAATCCTAGGATTGTGTAAAAAGTGAAATGGAGAGACACGCACTTCTTTTACCCCAGGGGTGCAGGGCAGCTAACACGCAGCATTTACAGTAAATGGGCGGGTGTGGGCAACCAGCCAACGCTGAGGAGGGAGTGCGCTAGCTGGTGAGCACATTTACCCGCCGAGGGGTCTGGACAAAAAGATCTCTCTGACATTTCAACAGTGTTAACCTAGATGCACGAGAACAGTGGGGAGGGCTTGCTTAAGGTAAAGACGGACCTTTTACTAAGGAAGCCTTAGGCCTGGGATGTAACCGCCCTCCACGACCTGCCCAGGGAGGTGGTCACATCATCTAGTGCAGTTTCTCTCGGTCACGGTCACGTCACAAGCTTGCCAGGCCTGCCGTGTGGCCCCGGGCTTGTCAGGTCTGCTCGATTGCCCCTTTTTCGTTCACACCTCAATTGAAGCAAAGTGAAAAGAGAACGGGGATTTCCCATAATATTGTAAATGGTTATTTATTACCCAGGGGTGAGTATTGTGGAACTGGGCCTGGGGTGATACAGAGGCACTTCTTCCACTTCCTCTCTCTGGTGAGTCCCCAGAGAGTGTCCTCCCTGTGTCCGCCACCTGCACACTCCCAGGGGGTACATCCACTGCGTCTGCGGAGGGAGAACTCGGAGAATGCAGGTCGGCAGGCACCAGCATCCTGGCAGAATGATGGTGATGTTGGGGGCGACGGAGTGACAGCAGCCTGCCTGTGACCAGGGCTTGTGGCTTCGTGTGTTCATTTCACCTTCTCACCTCCAAAATGGAGCTTGTTGCTCTCCCCATGGAACAGAAGAGGAGACTGGGCGTAGACAGGAGAAGGTGGGCCAGTTGGGAGATTGGGTCCCTCGTGGCAGGGAACACTGGCTGCAGCCCCCCTCAAGGCCTCGCCCCTGGAGCTGGTGGGTGTCTGGCATGTTCTCATGGAGGCGCAGATAGGACCCAGACAAGCTCATCCAAGCTTTTTAGTGCTCTGGGGAATAGTGTCCCCTCAGACTCATGTCCACCCTTTGGAAATGGTGTCTTTGCAGACGTCATCAAGATGATAAAATGAGGTCCCTCTATATTAAGGCAGGCCCTAATCAAATGAGATTTAGACATACAGAGAAGCAAAAGGAATTTCTTCTCTTCCAGCTGGAGGGATGTGGGGACGTCAGCAAGGCTGGTCCCCTCTGGGTCTCAGAGGGAGCGACTGCTCCAGGCCCTGCTCTGGTGGTGTCGGTGATCACTGCCGTCCCTTGGCCTGCAGACTCGTCACCCCATCTCTGCCTGCTTTGCTGAACGGACCCCCCCAGGTGTCTGTGCATATTTACTCTTAGGAGGGCACGCATCATCCAGGGCCCGCCCGGATAATCCAGGACATGCATGTCCCAAAATCCTTAGCTTAATCACACCTGCAGAGGCCCTTCTTCCTAATCACAGGTCTTAGGCATGTGGACATCTCTGTATGGAGACCGATACTCGGCCCGTCACAGTCACCCTGAGCCACCATGCTATCTCCCAGCTTCCAGGCGCTGGGGGCAGGAGTAGGGAGCTGGCTGGCCTGGGCTCTCGGAGGCCCTGGCTCAGTGTCTCCTGCTCTGAGGCAGTCAGGAGAGACATGCCTCGGGGCAGCTCTTCTCACTGAGGAGCTGGCGCCTTTTTGATGAAACTCATCCCGGGAAAACTCCCCAGCGTGGCCCACTCTTGCTTCCCGAACAGGGTTTCCGGGAACAGGTGACAGTTCTTCGTTTTTCTATATTTCAGATCTTTGGGGGGAGACCTGGGAGCCAGTGAATTTCTGATCGCCTGGGTGGGTGGTCGACACCAGCATCCCGCCCAGCCCCGTCCACGGAAGCCTCACCGAGGAGCTCACAGTGAGAACCACGATGTCCAACCCCTTCCTGAAGCAGGTCTTCAACAAAGACAAGACCTTCCGCCCCAAGCGCAAGTTTGAGCCAGGCACCCAGCGGTTCGAGTTGCACAAGAAGGCGCAGGCCTCGCTGAACGCGGGGCTGGACCTGAAGCTGGCCGTGCAGCTGCCCGCCGGCGAGGAGCTCAATGACTGGGTGGCAGTGCACGTGGTGGACTTCTTCAACCGCGTCAACCTCATCTACGGCACCATCAGCGATGACTGCACCGAGCAGTCCTGCCCGATCATGTCCGGCGGCCCCAAGTACGAGTACCGCTGGCAGGACGAGCACAGGTTCCGCAAGCCCACGGCCCTGTCGGCCCCGCAGTACATGGACCTGCTCATGGACTGGATCGAGGTGCAGATCAACAACGAAGACCTCTTCCCCACCAGCGTGGGTGAGTCGGGCTGCCTGGGGCTGGGGCGCGGGGGGTTTTTACAGCATGAGGGAAAGCTTGTTTAGAAAGTAGCGGGGGTAGAAGTGAGCAACAGAAGGCATGGGCTCCGGAAACAAGTTACAGGGGCAAAAGGAGGGCCCTTGGAGTTGAGGAGAGAGAAAGGGAAAGGTGACCTGTGGGGGGGGCGGGGGGCGTGGGGGGGGCGGGGGGAGGAGAGAGGGAAGGAAAAGGCGTGATGTGCTGGGCGGGGAGGTGGTCATGTTTTAATAACAGCTTTGCTGAGACAGAATTCACAAACCATGAAATGCACCCATTTAAAGTGTAAGTTTAGTGGCATTTAGTACATCCACAGGGTTATGCAATCATCCCCTCTAATTCCTGAACATTTTAGTGCCCTCCGAAGACCCCCGTCCCCATCAGCAGTCACCCCCTCCCCCTCCCCAGCCCCTGAGAACCCGTTACTCACTCCCTGTCCCTGTGAATTTGCCGTTTTGGGCATGTCACATAAATGGAGTCACAGTCTGTGGCCTCTGTGTCTGGCCATGTGTTCAAAGTTCATCCACGTTGTAGGGAGGATCAAAGCTTCACTCCTTTTCATGGCTGAGTAGTATTCCAGTGTGTGGGTGGGTTAAAGTTTGCTTCGTGTTAAGGCTCTTAAAATGGGGAGATTATTCTGGATTATCCAAGTGGGCCTCAAGCTTCATCAGAAGGGTCCTTGTCAAAGGGAAGCGAAGGGACATTCGACACAAGAGAAGGTGATGTGACAACAGGAGAAGGAAGAAGGGACCATAGCCCAGGAATGCCAACAGCTTCCAGAAAAAGCAGGAAATGGGTCTGCCCTGGAGCCTCCGGAAGGAAGCAGCCCTGCCCACACCGCCTCCACCCCGTGGCAGCGGCGTGGGCCCTCCAGCCTGCAGGACTGTGAGGGGAGACGGGGGGGCGGTTCTGGAGCACGGGGTTGTCGGTGTTTGTTGCAGCAGCCCTAGGGGACCCGCGCAGGGCCCTTCTCACGTCACACTGGCGCCAACACAGCGTCCTGGAAAACAGGGCCGACGGGTCTCAGGCCTCAGTTCTTGGTCGCTGGTGGACTCTGCACCTGGTCCGCTTTCTCACACCTCTGGACCGCACTCACCCTCTGTATAGGGACTGGGCCTGCCACTGGCAGGGGACTTCAAAGAAGCCTGTCTGAGAAAGGCCTGCTCGGAAGAGACACTTTGCCAAAGGAGGGATTCATGAGTGCCCCCACCTACCCACACATCAGGTCACCAAGTCCGTGCTGTGGCCCTGGAGTCTGTCTGCACGGCCTACTGGCTCCCCTGAAGTCCCGACAGTTCCTGAAGGGGTCCACGTCCTAGAACTTGGACCCTGAGTTCCTCTAGTCAGCTCCTCGCCTGTAGAATGATAATTCCAGAAATTTTACCAAAGAGGAAATTGACAAGCAATCAAGAGAAAGTGAACTTGGCAGACACCACATGGCTGTCCAGACACGGGTCTGAGGCCACATTGCCGACTCCAGGCTCCCTCTGGGCCCCAGCCTCTGCCACACGATCACATCATGGGGCCTAGGGTCACCCCTGCTTTTCCCAGGGGCCTGTCTGGCCCAGGCCATACCTTCCTACCCTATGTACAAGTCCCGGGCCCCTTGGCCTGTTTTGACCCCAGACCTCCAGACTTGTGGAATGAAATGCTTCCCCTGAGAGCTGTGACTCTGCTGCTTCTGTGGCATTTCCGAAAAGCAGAGCCTGCCAGGTGTTCCTTAGGGTTAGACTTGTGGCTGAGCAAAGAAAGGACAGGGTCCAAATTTTATCCCAGGCCCCCAATGCTGTGCCATGGACACCTGTACACCCCGAGCCACCCACTCACGCTCTATAATGTTGGATCGGGGTGGTGGATTTTTCCCATGAAGGGCAGTAGCTCTTCCTTGGTGCTGCCTACGGAGGTGGCAGCCATCTCCCACTCAGCTTCATGGCTGCCCCCAGACCCCTCATAAAACACAAGATTGTCAGAAAGAGGACTAAGAAGTTCGTCTGGCCCTGGCCCTTATGGCCCGGCTGGAGCGGCGTCTTGTAACTGAAAGATCGCAGGTTCAGTTCCCAGTCAGAGCACACATCTAGGTTGCAGTCTTGATCCTCTGTCTGGGTACGTGCACAGTCCCCAGTCCAGGCACGTGTAGGAGGCAACCAGTCAGTGCTTCTCTCTCACATAGATGTTTCTCTCTCTCTCCCTCCCTGTTTCTCTAAAAAAGCAATGGGAAAAAATGTGCTCAGGTGAGGATAAAATATATGTATATTTTTAGAGTTTATCTGGCACCAGTCAGACTGATATGTCAAAATTAAGTGCAACTGGAGGAAACCAAGAGGCATTGATAATGGGGCGCACAGAAGAGGCAAGGCCAGGTCTTGGTGCCCAGCGCTGGTCATCGGAGCACCAAGAAAACGGCCCACGTGCTGCCCGGTGGCTATGGGAAGTTTCAGGTGTCAGTGTCAAGGAGCTTGAAGCGCTGCTGACGTGCAGCACACCTTACTGCGCTGAGATTGCTCACAGCGTCTCCCCAGAGAACCCCGAAGTCCCTGTGGACGAAGCGGCCCTGCTGGCCGTTGGGGTCGCCCGTCTCAGTGCCAGTCTGTGCAGCGAAGGAAGTGAACAAACAGATTGTGTACACATTGTTTGTGCTGATAAAACCACAAAATTCTAAGGAACAACATCATCAAAAAAAAAGGACCACAGAGTATATCTCTCCAGCTTTATGAGCTGGGTCTTTGTCTCAACTACTCAGGGTCGAGTACCACTTCCCTGTCATGTAGCCCCAAAGCTGCTATAGACACAATATAGACAAACAGGTGAGTCTCTGTTCTAATAAAATTTTATTTACAAAAGCAGGTGCTGGGCCCGATTTCAGCCCCTGCATGAGAATACCATTGCAGGCGTGGGCTGTGCAGTCCTGGAGGTTGCATTTCTAAGCCCTTCTCCTGGGTCGCACTGCTCTAAATCCCTCGCCTGCCCCGGCATCACCCTTGCTGGTTCCCGGTACCCGCTCTCCCAGGGAGTAAGCTGAAGGAATAAAGAGCCATCAGTTCTCACGTTGTGGGCCAGAAGGCCCAGATACAGAGGAGGCAGCAGTCCGGGCCAGACCTGTCGTGCACAGAGAGCCTGTTCTTTCCCAATTGCCTTTTAACTGGACACATGTTGAACCTCCTCCATGGTGAGCAGCCTTATCAACTCCCTGTGTCAAGGCCACGCATCACAGTCTTGCTACAAACGCCACATCTTGAGCCTCTACACGTGGAGTCGCTCACTCACCTGGACCTCTTTGGACCATTACTCGGCCAACCACAGGCCTCATCAGCACAGTGCTATCCGGCTGCTGAGGCCCCATGGCCCGAGAGTGTGCACCTGGTGCACTGTGACTTTCCCACTGTTAGTGACATCCGTGTGTCCTCCCTGACCCATCAGCCCCTCTCTGGACAGGCTGGCCTGTCAGTCCTGGTCCCAGGCACCGACCTGGTAGCCCTGGTTGGATCTCTTTGACACGTGGCTTCCACCTTGCCTGTGGGATAAAGGGGACTTGAAGTCTTGGCTGGGGACGCAGGAAGGAGCCCATGGGGCACACAGCAACGTGAATGTGCCTAATGCCAGCCACCTGTCACCTCAGATGGCTCAGATAAGGAATCTCATGGTGGGTGTATTTTACCACAATTTTTAAAAGTAAAGAAATATGATAACCAGAGAAGAAAGTGCAACATAGTGTGTGCATTCAATGAAGCTCTGACAAGTATATCAAATTTAATATTATAAAAACATACTTTAAATGGAGAGAGAGAAAGATAAGTGGGAAATATCAAAAGTAAAAAATATGTTTCTAGGCCCTGGCTAGCTGGCTCAGTTAGTTAAGCATCATCCCAATACACCAAGGTTACGGGTTCGATCCCTAGTCAGGGCACATACAAGCACCAACCAATGAATGCATCAATAAGTGGAATAACAAATTGAGGTTTCTCTCTCTCTCTTCCTTCCTCTTTCTCTCTCTAAATCAATAAACTTCTGCCCTGGCTGTGGCTCAGTGGATTGAGCACTGGCCTGTGGACAGAAAGGTCACTGGTTCAGTTCCCGGTCAGGTCACATGCCTGGGTTGCGGGCCAGGTCCCTGGTTGGGGGCATGTGAGAGGCAACCAATTGATGTATCTCTCACACATCGATGCTTCTCTCCCTCTCTTTCTCCCTCCCTTCCTGTCTATAAAAATAAATAAATAAAATCTTTTAAAAATAAATTTAAAATCAGTAAACATTTAGAAATGTTTTTAGGGGTTTTCCCATTCTGTTAAGAAAAATGAGTATTACTGGAACTATACACATGGCCGGGTCCCAGAGGAGACATAGCAGACCCACAGCTGGCAGGTGCGGCGGGTAGGGGACGTTCTGGATTCTGTGAAGGGAGCTGGGCAAAGGCGGGCGGGCTGTGCGGCTCCCAGCATGTTCCCAGCAAGGGCTGGGCCAGTGGGGCCAGATTGGCTGATGTGGATTACCCTGAGGATAGGCTTTACCCCCAGGCCTGTCTTCATCCCTTCCTCAAGCATTGTTAAGAAGCTTGGCAGTGGGTTTCACACAGCATTTTAGTGGGCTCCCTGGAGCTGGAGGTGAGAGACTGGGGTGTGGGGAGGGGAGTCAGGAGGCTATGGACCCTGGAGAAAGGGGCTCCTTCACAGGGGTAGACCCTTCCCACCCCATCAGTCAACTCTTGGCTGAAGGAGGAAACCAGGACAGGGGCTGTGTGAACTTGGGCAGGCGTCCCAGCCTCTCTGAGCCTCACTAGTTCACAGGCTAGTTCAATCTGGCAGTCCAAGGGCGGCGTGGTTTCAAGGCCAAGCTGGACCCCTGAGGCTGCTTCCTGAGTACACTGGTCCCTCTCACCATCCACAGGCACGCCGTTCCCCAAGAACTTCTTGCAGGTGGTGAAGAAGATCCTGTCCCGGCTGTTCCGCGTGTTCGTGCACGTCTACATCCACCACTTCGACCGCATCGCACAGATGGGCTCCGAGGCGCACGTCAACACCTGCTACAAGCACTTCTACTACTTCGTCAAGGAGTTCGGCCTCATAGACACCAAGGAGCTGGAGCCACTGGTCAGTGGGCGGGGGCAGGGGCGGGCGTGCAGGGCCAGTAAACTGGATTTTGTGAATAGTTAGTTTCATTAGCGCGCTCAGCTGTTTGCTTACTGCTGCTGCTGCTTTCTGCAGCAGGGCAGGATTGAGCAGCTAGACACCATCTGGCTTCCGGGGCTGACAAAGTGGCCTCTCAGGCCCTTCACAGAGCTTGTCACATCAGCCTTAGGCATGCTTCTACCTATTCCCTTTTTTAAAAATTTTATATATTTATTTTTAGAGCGGGAGGGAGGGGGAGAGAGAGGGAGAGAAGCATCGATTGGTCGGTTGCCTCTCACATGCCCCCAACCTGGGACCTAGCCCACACCAGGCGTGTGCCCTGACTGGGAATCAAACCGGCAACCTTTAGGTTCACAGGCTGGTGCTCAATCCACTGAGCCACACCAGCCACACTGTAGGGTTTGGCCTTAAATGAGGTCCGTGAGTCTCTTGAGTTGCATTCCCTGCTTTTCTGTGTGTGTGATTTCTGTCACCTCTTGTGTCAATACCTGATGTCCTGTTTGTTCTTAACAGAAAGAAATGACCGCACGGATGTGCCACTGAGAACCTTTTGGCCCCATTGTCACCGAGGCAGTGCTGGGGACACTCCGACTTGATGGCCACCTTCCTGGAATATAGACTATGCTTTCTGCCTCAGCAGGTCACTGACCTCCACAGTGGTCAGACAGCAACCTCTGTGCCCCCAATGCTGCACTGGACACTGGGGTTGAGTCCTGCCTCTGATTCTGAGGTGACAGCAGGCCCAGCCTCCAGAGTTCCACAGGGGGAGATTGAACTTGAACTCTGATTCTGTGTGCCGTGAGCCACTAGGAAAATCTACTTTATCTATAAAGCACTTGGATCTGCCCGGAGGCCGGAGCTCTACCTGTCCCCTGATGCCCCTAGCGTGCTTGGCCTGGGAGAGCACAGGCCACACGGGCTCTGGGTCAGCGAGACCAGGGCCCGCCGCTGCTGCGCCTTCCAGCCTCAGTCCTCATAGCACGCTTCCCGCAGCCCCGTGTCTGTGTCATGAGAGGAACAGTGTGGCCCTGGCTCCACCCCCCCCCCAGTCCCCTCTGTTCCTTCAGTTCCTCCAAAACACCTGGCCCATCTGCCAGGGTTTCCCAGACCCCACATCTGCACCCCAGATTTCCTGGGGCCACTTCACATATCATTAAGATTGAGTTTTTATGCAGTCTTAATGACAGCCACCTTGAGATGTTGAGAAAAAACAGCTTTTTATTCATAAATAGTGAACTCACCTCCCCTCTAGACAAACACTCTTCTGTTACGAATAACCCAGGGTGACCCTTCCATAGAGTCTTTCCCAGGTTTGGGGTTGTTGAACTTGGCCTTTCTTAAGGTGCCTGCCCAATTTATATGAAACCCTTGATGTGGCCCCCTGTGGCCAGGGGACCAGAGTCCCAGTACCGTCTCCCCAAAGAACAGTGGCAGCTCTTCCCACCCAACCCCACCTACCTCTGAGGACCTCTGGGTGTCTGGGATGCCCCAGAATAGAGGGGCACCACACAAGTGCAGTTAACACGACCTCAGCCTAGTCCCTCTGGACACTCTCCAGCTCTCGGATCCCTGGGCATGCAGACCCCACAGAACTACAGAAGACCATCCAATCAAATGTAGCTCTTTTTAAATACAAAACCACAACGAAATGCCAAAACCACTGTACCCCTCCTGGGTCACCACCAGCTCTTCCCCACAGCCAGGCCGGGTTGGGGAAGGTGGTGGGGACTGTGGGGTGAGAAGGGGCCCCTCTCCACTCTCTTGTGCCTGCAGATGTTCACATGAACATAGAATAAATTGTGCCATTTTCATACCTGCTGCTGCTGGCTGTCATTTCTGTTTTTCTGGCAGGAGGGCCTGGTGTCAGGACACATCACTGTCATTGTCACCGGGTACTCTCACCCATCCTCAAGTGGTGAGGAAATAGATGTCACAATGGCTTGTGGTCTGCCAGAGCGCCCCGATTGACAATTAGATACACGGAATGGGGCGGGTTAGAATTTCACGGGGTGCAGGGCAGAGGCGATTAGGTCAAAAGTATCAAAAATAGGTGGAGAAATGCCATAGGGAAAGTGGGTTTCGCTCTCCCATTGCCTTTGCCTTTTTGCCATGTGAGAGAAGTTTCCAGAAAATGTTGGACCAAGTACAGAAGACTTGATCGAGAGGAAACAGGGGTGTTCCCATTCTAACCCTTACTAACTAGCCCTGCAACCTTGAACACAAGACTGTGGCCCTCAAACTCCTCTCTCATATGTCAAAAATGGGAGTGGACATCTTACTCTCCGGGCTTCTTTCAAATGTAAAATGTTAGTGTTCCAGAGCCAACAGGCCTGGGGGGGCGGGGGGGATGCGCACTGCGGGCCATTCTTCTGACGCAGGAGCAGATGGGAAGAGGGGCCTGGTGGATGCCAAAGCCACGCAGAGCCACCAGGTGAACTGACAGCTGGGAACCTGAGCCCAGTGTGGCTCAGTGTGGTTTCTGGCCCCCAGGGGGCGTGCTGACTTCGTGGGAAGGGAGAGGTCTGTGTTCCAACGGAATGAATTCCACGTTACTTGAAAATACCTCCTAAAGAAACCATTGTCTCCTTACCTTTTCACATTCAAATGTACCACAATGAGTTCCAGGGCCAGTTAAAAATTGGGGAGCTATTATTGCCCTTTGGAGACAATTGTCCCCCAAAGATGTCCTCATCCCAGTGTGGGCCCTGTGGACATGTCACCCCACATGGTAAAGGGACTTTACAGATAGGATTGTTAAAGCCCTAGAGATGAAGATGACCCTGGGTTATAAATAAACAGATGATAGATAGATGGATAGATAGATAGATAGATAGATAGATAGATAGATAGATAGATAGATCCTCACAGCGTCCTCACAAGAGGGAGGCTGGAGGGTCAGAGTCGGAGATGGAAGAGGCCGCGCTGCTGGCTGTGAGGACGGAGGAAGGGGCCACGAGCCAGGGATGCTGCGCCTCTAGAAGCTGGAAAAGGCCAGAAATAGTTCTCCTGGAGCCTTAGGAAGGACCAGCCCCACCCACAGCTGGATTTAGCCCTGTGAGACCCATGCCAGACTCCTGGCCCCAGAACTCTAAGGAAATAAACTTCTATTATTTAAGACACTGAATTAGTGGTCACTGATTCCAGCAGCCATAGGAAAGCTGTACACCCTTTATAAAGAAATGCTTTGCACACTCGACACCCTGGGACCCATTCATTTGGGTTCCTGGAACACAAAAATTAGAGGTGAGCTTCTGAGAGTCACTCGTCCTAACAGGACAGTTCACCCCAAAATTTGTCCTACCATGAGAGGTCATGGGGGCCAGGTACTGGCACCTTGGCATCTAGTCAGATGGGCGTTGGTAGAAGGAACTAGAAGTGTTCAGCTTGGACAAGACTAGCTGCCCGTGTTCCCACCTGGCCAGTGTCCAAGGGGCTGTCATTTAGGAGTGGCTGTGGGCTTGCACCATCTCCACCAACAGGCGGGACAAAGAAAGGCAGAACAAAGCTGAGGGCAGCCTCCGATGTGTCTAATAGAGATGTTTCTCCAGAAACTCAAGAACTCAGTGGGGGCATCCTAAAGATCAGGAGCCCCCTGTTACCTCAAGTTTCCACACCGGGGCGGGCATTGCCCTAGACCCATGGTGTTCGGTAGGCAGCCTCTAGCTGCATGTGTCTGTTTAGCCCCTGTGAGTGGGTCTTGCTACTCTCCCATATCCACCACGGCAGGAAGCTTTTACCTCGGTAACGCTTCTAAAAGCAGTTCCTGAGTCACAGTGAAAGTCAAGGTAGAGACTGGTTCCTCATCTTTTTTTTTTTTTTAGGCCAGAGAGCCTCTTGCATCCTTGTCAAGGGGAGTGCTAACCTTCTCTCCTCTCATGTAACCCTAAACTGCTTCTCATCATGACTCCAACCAGAGAGGGAGTGTGGAATCATGGAAAGTGGGGCAACCCTGGGGGACATGAGGAGTCAGCGCTGTGGAAGGCTGGGCAATTTGGAGAAGCCCAGATGTACATATACTGGCCTCCCTGTTCGAGAGCCATGCATTTTATGGGTTCCCCCTAGCTTAACAAATCCCCTCACTCTTTTTTAATCCTCACCTGAGGATATATATATAGAGAGAGAGACAGGAAGGGAGGCAGAGAAACCTCCATGTGAGAGAAACATCGATCGGTTGCCTCCCACACATGCCCCAACTGGGACCAAACCCACTACCTAAAGTATGTGCCCTGACCAGGAATAGAACCTGCAACCTTTCAGTATATGGGACAACGCTCCAACCACCTGAGTCACACCAGCCAGGGCATGAATCCCCTCTTAACTGTAGCCATTACGTTATACACAGTAAATATTCCTCTTGTCAAATCTTTATAAATATCCCTAATTCTTGCCAGAGATAAACCACCAAAACTGGTGTCAAAGGAATTACCTTGGAGGATGTTTTTGATGGGTTATACAGGACCCTGCACCTAGTGGTACCAATTTATGCCTCCATCGACATGTTTCATGGTTTCTGTTTCCCCACATCTTCCTCCGGACACTGGATATTAGGCTTTGTGTGGTTTATCGGTTTGACGAGACAGATCCTCACTATAGTAATGCATTGTTGATAACTCACCTTGCCAATTCACATCCTTTGTATTTTTCCATTGGGGAGTGGTCTTTTCTTAATAGTTCATCAAAATTCTTTACATATGGGCTTATAAATATTTTTATATACTTATTTATAAAACCTTTTCTATATATAATTTATCATATATGTTACATAAATTACTGCTGGTTTCTTGTTTGTCTTTAACTTTGTTTATAATCCCTTGAGCATATTCTCCCCCTCCCCCTTTAATTTACATTCTTATATTTGGTCAATCTTTTCCTTGATGATTTCTACCCTTGATGATACATTTACAGACTTGGGCTGGAGAAGCCCTTTATGTAAATATCCACCTCCATTTTCTTCTAGTTCTCCATGGTTTTCTTTCTATTTATATTAAACACCGGGTAAATTAGAAAGTCTAATTTCTACGTATGGTGGGAGGTAAGGCGCTACAGAAATCTTTATTTGTTCAATAACAAGCAAACCCCATTCCAGCACCATATGATGCTTCTACATGGATCAGAAGCCCACTTATTTTTTTTAAGATTTTATTAATTTTTTTAGAGAGGGGAAGGAAGGGAGAAAGAGAGGGAAAGGAACATCAATGCATGGTCGCCTCTCACACGCCCCCTGCTGGGGACTTAGCCCGCAACCCAGTCATGTGCCCCGACTGGGAATCAAACCAGTGACCCTTTGGTTCACAGGCTGGTGCTCAATCCACTGAGCCACACCAGCCAGGGGCCAGAAGGCTACTTATTTACACAGGTGTCTGTTTCTGGGTTTTGTAGGAGTTTTCCTATCCCACCTCCAGTTTTAATGTACCTTACAGAGTTAGAGTAATTTTAATGTGTGGCAATATAAGTTCCTCATTATTATTGTTGTTTTCATATTTTCTCGACTACTCTAAATAGTTAGCATTGTAATATTGTACATGGGATAGTAATAGTATTATTATACTTAGAATCACATTTTGTTCATAGTCCAAGTGAAATTTAGAGTTACTTTAAGTTTTTAAGAAATTGCCTCTAGGATTTTGGTGAAAATAGCAAATCTGAAAAATAACATGGGCCCAGGTTGTCACTCTAGGACACAGATCAGTCCCGGGAGCCTCAGGTACCTCTCCATTTATTGGAGCTGTGATGTCCCTTTGTTGTTTCCGTCCTGTGGGGTTCTGCACATTTTGTTTGTCTTTCTTTTTCTTGCTCATATAATTTTTAAAATTGAGCTATAAATCACCTGCCATAAAATCCACCATTTTAAAGTGCACAGTTGAGGCCCTGGCCAGGTGGCTCAGTTGGTTAGAGCATCATCCTGATATAGATTGCAGGTTTGATCCCCGGCCAGGGCACATACAAGAACCAACCAGTGAGTGCATTAATAAGTAGAACACTTCTCTCTCCCTCTCTCTATCTCCCTCCCTTCCCTCTCTAAAAATATATAAATAAAAATCTTTAAAAAAATCAAAATGCATTTATAAAAAAAAAAAGAAAAAAGTTTAAAAAAAATATTAGCCCTGGCTGGTGTAGCTCAGTGGATTGAGTGCGGGCTGTGAACCAAAGTGTCACAGATTCGATTCCCAGTCAGGGCACATGCCTGGGTTGCAGGCCATGACCCCCAGCAACCGCACATTGATGTTTCTCTCTCTTTATCTCTATCTCCCTCCCTTCCCTCTCTAAAAATAAATAAATAAAAATCTTTAAAAAAATAAAAATGCATTTATAAAAAAGAAAAATGTTTTAAATAAGTAGAGGAACACAATTGATGTTTTTTCTCTCTCTCTCCCTTCCTATAAATAAATAAATAAAGTGCACAACTGGGTGAATCTTAGTATATCCTCAGAGCTGTGCAACCACCACCATCAAATTCTAGAACATTCTCATCATCCCCCAAAAAGCCCAGTTCCCATCAATAGTCACTCTCTACCCCCACCCCCTGGCAACCAGGAACTCACTTACTGTCTCTGAGGACTTTGCCTGTTCTGGACATTTCACACCTTCATTCTTTTAAAGTTAATTTTTAGTTGTTTTTGGTCATGACCATGACACCTTTTTCCCATACTTTCAGGATGGTCATGTCTGGAACACATAGGAAATCTCTTGATTTCACCATGGGTTTTGTAACTGGCATCTTTTCTGAATTTTAAGTTCATCCTCCTGCATTTTCTAGGCAGAGGTTCACACCTGCAGATGACATTAATTGAATATGGTCACCTTTTATCAGCAAAATAAATAGATATTATTTCTTTCTTTTTAAAGAAGATTTTAGCCTGGCTGGCATAGCTCAGTGGATTGAACGTGGGCTGCGAACCAAAGCATTGCAGGTTCGATTCCCAGTCAGGGCACATGCCTGGGTTGCAGGCCACAGTCTCCAGCAACTGCACATTGATGTTTCTCTCTCTCTCTCTTTCTCCCTCCCTTCCTTCTCTAAAAATAAATAAATAAAAACCTAAAAATATATATTTTAAAAAAGAAGATTTTATTTATTTTCAGAGAGAGGGGAAAGGAGGGAGAAAGAGGTGGAGAGAGAAACATCTGATGTGTGAACAATACATCGATCAGTTGCCTCTCCCATGCTCCCAACTGGGCACCCCACCGGCAACCCAGGCATGTGCCATGACTGGGAATTGAACCGGCAACCTTTGAGTTCGAAGGCCAGCATTCAATCCATTGAGCCACACCACCCAGGGCTAGATACTGTTTCACAGATGATGATGATTGGCAAAATTAAGTTCAGTATGGTTTTTTTTTACATTTTTAAAAGATTTTATTTATTTACTTTTAGAGAGAGGGGAAGGGAGGGAGAAGGAGAGGGAGAAAAACACCAATATGTGAGAGATTCAGTTGTCTCTCACAGGCACCCAACTAGGCACCTGGCCCACAACCAAAGCATGTGCCCCGACTGGGAATCAAACCAGTGACCTTTGGGTTCACAGGCCGGCACTCAGTCCACTGAGCCACACCAGCCAGAGCAAGTTCAATATGTTTATTAAAAGTGTACACAGACACACACACACACACACACACACTGTATTTTGCAGTGTATAACATTCAGGAAAAAATCTTTTACTTTAATTTTTTCACTCAATTATTTATTTATTTATATTTAGAAATAAAACCAATTATCATATTCCAGTGTATTATGCATATATCATTATTGCTTTCTAGAATTATACTTTTAATGCATAGGCATAAATAAGAGAATTTAAAACATTTATATAGACACAAAGTTAGTACTATTTGTGTATAATGTGCATCCTTATTTTTCCCTAAAAAATCTGGCCAAAAAAGTGCACATTATACATGGTAAAATACAGTGTGTGTGTGTGTGTGTGTGTCCACTAGTAAGATGCCCCACAGCCTGTACGTCCGTAGCTTTTAGATTAATGGAGGGACAAAGACAGGAAAACAGCCCGTACAGAAGATAGGAAGCCTAGAAAACAGCAGAGGAATTTTCTTTTCAGGGATGACTGTTTCAAAGCACGACACAAGATTGGCTCAAGGAAAATGAAGCCGCAGCAGTCAAGGATCAGGGATGGCTAAAGGCAGTACACCTCTGCTTTTGTCAATAAAATTGTATTGGCAAAGGGCCTTGCTCTCTCATTTGCATATCATCTAGGGCAATTGCTCTACAAAGCAGAGCTAAGCGGCTCGGGGAGGCATCAGCCCCACCCCTCACAGCTGAAATAACCACTATCCGGCCTTTACAGAAAAAACGAAATTGGCCAACCCTGTTACAGAGATAGTGGTTGATTCTCCTTTTGAAATGGGAGGACCTCACAAGAGAGAAAAGTCAAAATCCTAACACTTTATTCTGTTCCAATAGACATGGATTGTGGGGATGGTTGCACAACTCGGCTAAAACCCCTGAGCTGTGCACTTCCAATAGGAGAATCTTATGTGTGCATTACACCCTGACAAAGCTGTTATGAAAAAGGCATAAAGAGTTCAAAGTTGATCAGGCAAAGTCATATCAATGCCAAGCAAACTGTGAGAAAGGAGGAAATGAAAGGTTAATACAGATGGAACAGTACACAATTCATTAAAGTTTATTTACTGGCTATTTTAAAGCCTCGGCTGTTGTGGCTCAGTGGTTGAGCACAGGCCTGTGAATCAGGGGGTCACTGATTTGATTTCCAGTCGGGGCACATGCCTGGGTTGCAGGCTGGGTATCTGGTGGGGGGTATGCAAGAAACATCTATGCATCGATGTTTCTCTCCCTCTCTAAAAAAATAAATAATTAAAATCTTTTTATTTACCCTTTTTTTTAGGTTTTTATTTATTTATTTTTAGAGAGACAGGAGGGGAGGGAGGAAGAAAGCGAGAGACACATCGATTGTTTGCCCCTTGTGCTCCCCGGACCAGAGACCAGGCCTGCAACCCAGGCACGTGACCTGACAGGGAATCAAACCGGTGACCTTTCACTTTGCTGAATGATGCCCAATCACACGAGCCACCCTGGTCAGGGCTATTTTAAAAATTTCTTACTCAAGGCTCTGTGGTATAATGGAGAAAGCATTGGACTTCTAAAACCTTCTTACTCCACAACTAGGGAACCTCTTTTTCTGCCAGAATACCATAAAAACATTTGTGAAAATTGATTTTCTTTTTTAATTAATTGTATATTCGACTCCATGAAAAATGTGAAATTAAAAAAAAAATTAAACCAAACATTGTACAGGTCATTACCTCTATGCAGAACTCAGGAAGACTAGACATTACTAGCCAGGGTTGAATAACTTTCGGCCATGGCAGGTTCGAAGCCTCCTCCCGAATCCCTCTACAGAGAGAAAACAGCCCAGGCAGAGTTCAAGGGAAGGGTCCCAGCAGCAGGGTCAGAAAGCCTGACAAGAAACATAAAGTCTCGACATCAGCTTCCTGAGAGTAACATAGAGGTTGCACATCTGTGTCTTTAAGAGAAGCTGTATTAACTATGTTAGTTATTATTTAGGAAGTAGCTGTATTCATGGGCTACCACTATGGAACAAATGACCATAGGCAATATTTCCAACACACTGGCCACTGCCACTGAGATGGGCTAAGTTGCTGTCTCCGTGCTGGCCATCCTCAAGGGCAATTCCTCTCCCAGTGCCAAGTACATCAAGAAGATCCTGGACAGCATGGGCACCAAGGTGGACAACAACCAGCTCAACAAGGTCATCAGGGGGCTAAACGGAAAAATCATCAAAGATGTCATCACCCAGGGTACTGGCGAGCTGCCAGAGATCCTGCCGGTGGGGCTGAGGCAACACACTTTCGCCGCCTTACAGTTTCCATGGGCCAGGGATCCCCTGCTCAGGCTTCAGTAAAGGTGTCAGCAGCACTGGGGTCTCACCCAGAGGCTCAACTAGAGAAGGGTTCGCTTCCAAGCCCTTGGCCTGGTTGCTGGCAGAATTCAGCTCCCTGCAGGTGCAGGACTAAGGGCCTCAGTTTCTTGCTGGCTGGCAGATGAACCAGCAAAACACGGCCACATGCTTAGTCAGAGCCAGCAGCAGAGAGTGAGCCAGAGGGGCACCACAAGCTGATGTGACCACTGACCCCCTTACTGGTCAGACGCAAGTCAGGGAAGGGGACTGCACAAGGACCCGACCACCAGGAGGCAGGTCAACATGGCCACCTGAGAGCTATCCCACTGTGTTTCACTAAGTGGAACTGACACTGCCTGAGTCACACATCCAGCCCCATTAAGTGACAGGAACACCCACTAGGTGGCTATTTGAAGACATGAAAGTGGTTGGAGTTACTCAACTCTAGAGACAGTGCTGCTGGAACATTCCTGATGATTCCTCCTGCTCTGCGTCAGGACAGTCTCTCTAGGCCAGTTCCCACCCTGGGCACTGCCAACGCTGGGCCCGGGTCACTCTCTGTGGGGCTGTTCTGGGCACTGCGGGGTGCTGAGCAGCCTCCCTGGACCAACCTGCTCAATGCCAGGAGCACCCCCAGTGTGACAACCAAAGCTGTCACCGGACATGTCTGCAAATACAAAGACTCGGGGTCCATTCCTAGCACAAGATGTCGGTACCTCGTCCATCTGCCACCAGGCAGAGGTTGGCTGCCTGTGAGCACACATTCTCTTATGCACAGACCACTGTCCTGAAGCTTCTTATGAGTAAGAAGCAGGTGTTTCTTTAAATGCCTTGTTTCCTGGTGCAGATCCTTCTCAAAAGTGCAGTCTCAGCGTGTGCAGTCTTGGCATGCAGCTTTTGGTCTGCATGTCACAGACTCTCAGGAATCCCTGACCCCTGCTTATTCACACAGAGATGCTCTCCTTCATAGCTGATCCAGGCCAGGAAATGTGCCAGGCACTGCAGTGCGTCGCTATTTGCTTTGTGTCCAGTTTTGGTCATCAGGACAGCAGGTTCCCCTCGTGCCCCCACGGCACCGTGAAGCTCCTCTGGCACCGTGCGCAATTGTGAGCCTCCACCGTGCTGGGCTCTCACGAAACACCTTTACTGAGATATCATTGACAAGCTGCACGGTTCATCCATTTACAGTGCACAATGCAGGGGCATCTGGTGCACTCGGTGTTGTGCACCCACCACCTCCATCTAGTTCCAGAATGTTCTCACCATACTAAAAGAAGCCCCAGGCCCATCAGTAGTCACCTCACCCCCTCCCCAGCCCCTGACAACCACGTACCCACTTCTCATCTCTGTGGGTTTCCCTGTTCTGGCCATGTCACAAAAATGGGATCACACTTTGCATCTGGCTTCTGTCACTGAGCATCATGTGTTCAAGGTCCATGCACATTGTAACGAGTGTCAGAGCTTCATTCTTTTTCATGGCTGAGCGATATTCCAGGGTGTGGGTGGTCCCGTTGTGTTTGTCCACTCACCTGTGTGATAGGCCATTGCCACCTGTGGCTGTCCCCAATCGCATGCAGAGTTCTGTGCCTTTGTGCCAGGAGCTGCTGTGTTTTGAAGCCTCTGTTTACAGGGCACTTCTGCTCACCTTCTGATGCTACCACCAGCCACCACCTGGGGAGAGAGGAGGGGTGTGATCCTAGATATTTCTGGAGCCATCTGCCCTTCTTCCCAAACCACAGAAAGCAGGTGAAAAACAAAATCAGGTATCATGCTCTGCCCTGCCCAGCTGGATGGGAATTCTGCTCCCAGGAAGGCCTGCCATGCTGGAAAATAGCCAGAAACATTTATGTCCACCCCAAGCAGATGGGGCACAGTCTCGTCCCCACACCCAAGCTAGCAGGTCACCGTCGCTTTGTTGCCAGGCGTCGGGGATCTAAGTGTCTATCAGATGCCAGGGTTGACCTGAGTTTCACACGGGTGGCATTGGGCCCCTGCAGCACTTAGTTGGAAAGGGGAGATGGAGTCAGGCACACTCACTCCTGCGCCTCCAGCCCAGGCTTCCAGTGCTGACTAACAAAGTTGCTGGGAACTTCTCCTTCTCTGGGCCCTGATCTTGCTCTCAGTGACAGACGGGCCCCAAGACTGGCAGGGACCCCACAGCAAGGTCCCTGGTCAGTCATGAGGTGGCCCCAAGCCCAGAACACCAGCAGACACCCTGCATCTTTTGCATCTTCTGTCCTCCCACTGTGTGACCCAGGTGTGCAAACAGATTTCTCTCAGTTCCTCAGGCTCAGCTCTGGGGTCCATCATGAGTTCTGGCCACATAGCCAGGCTGAGAAAGGACAAGTATCCCACTAGCAGTCCTGCAGGAAAGGTGCAGACCGAGTGGAACCATTTCACCCCCTGTCAAATGACCATCCTTGTCTCTCAGTCCAGTTCCTGAAAGCTGCCAAGGAGTCATGCCTAGATATTATAACACCAGCAGAAGACCTATGTACCCTCATCCCTTGGGATCACCCTGCAGAGATGACACAGTGGTTTCCTGGGGCTGCTGTGACAAATCACCAAAATTTAGTGGCTTAAAACCATACATATGTATCACCTCATATCTGGAGGCCAGATGTCCTCACAGGGCTAAAATCCAGGTGTGGGCAGGGCTGGTTGTTTCTGGAAGTTCCAGGGGAGAATCCATTTTCTGCCTTTTCCAACTTCTAGAGGCTTCTAGAGGAGGAAGTGGCCCCTTCCTCCATCTTTACAGTCCACCCCAGTGGTATCTACACAAGCTCCAAAGAATCCTGGACATGTGGGCAAGCTTCCCACTGGTCCTGGGCCCTGGGGAAGTGTGGAGACCACCGACAGCTCACAGCCTACCCAGGCCAAAGCCAGCCCTTCCCAGCACACCTGCTGGGAAGCAGAAGGACTGCTTCTGGAACAGCTGGAGGCCATGGCACCTCGGAGGCATGTCCAACTGCGTGTGTTGCAGGGCTGTGGTGAATGTCATCTATTGTGGGTCAGCAGGGGTGAAGACACAATAATGTTTAGAAATTACTTAACACTAATGGGTGCTTTCTCTTTCATTTCACTTTATTTTGGACTAGTTTTAGACTTACAGAAAGGTTGCAAAATTATACTGAGAGTTCCCAGATGCCCCCACCCAGTTTCCCTACAGCGAACATCTTACATCACGGACATCCTAAGGAACAAGGATCAAAGCAGGACACCCCAGGTTAGTGGAGTCCAAGGGTGCTGGGGTGGTGGTCAATGAGGGGGCAGGAGGGAGGGCCACAGGAGGAAGCTGGTTCTGTATCCTAAAGCCTGCTTCGGACCTGGAACGCTATGGGACTAACTGATCCTCTCTTCCCCAAATCTCTGGGCCTTGCCACCGCTTCAGATGCCAGCCCTGTTCCCTGAGGCCAGCTTTAGCAGGAGTCTGGGCCTCAGGCAATCTCCATTCCCTACAGACCACACTCGGGAAGGCAGTCCAGGCTTGGGACAGGGAGGATGCAGGAGAGAGAAGAGGACCTGTCCACAGTGGGGGGACATTGTGGCTATGGCCATAGATGCCTGGAATCCACAGGTCCTCGTCACCACTATCCCTTGGCTTTCCGCAGTTAGGACAGAAAGCCCTTGGTGAGAGCGCCGGGCATTGAGACCTGGGACCCCGTGGATCCAAACTCCCCACCTCTCCGGGTGGGTAAGAATCCTCGTAAGGGATGTTCCCTGGCATGGGGGAAGAGGGGTGGGTGCAGGGGCCCAGGCCTGGAAACAAATCCTGACCCTCACCTGTCATGAGGCCTTCTGAGGTGCGCGCTCTCGCTAAAGCCGAGGGGCGTGGTGACTCCCAGGGGATGGAGGACATTGCATGTGGTCCAGTTGTACATAGCGGCGCCGCATTACTGCAGGGGCACCCTTCGGGGAAGCCGCGGACTCTGAATACACCGTCCCTACGACCTTGTTATGGGCACCTGGGGAAACTGAGGCTCAGGGAGACCGGCAGGCTTACCCCCAGTCGTGGGCAGCTCCTTCCCCACTGAACCATGGTGCAACCAGAGCTCAAAAAGACGCGTGCGTTCCCTTTAAAAGAGGCGCGGCCTTACTCGAACCGCCCAGACAATAACAATCTCATTGGCTACAGAGCCCTAGGCCCTGCGCCACATTCGTTGACGCAAACACGTTGCTCCGGCAACCGCTCCAGCCACAGGACAGGGTCTGCCCAGCGCCAGAGTAGGGGCATAGGGGGTCCTTAGGGCTCGTAGCCCGGACGAGGGAGTCTCCGGCCCCCACGCTGGCGCCCCCCGTCCCCCGTTACCCCAGGGTAGCCTGCCAAGGCTACGTGGATGAAAAGGAGGCGCCTCGGGGATGGCATGCGGGTCACGGCGTAGGAACAGGCTGGGGAGGGCACTGCAGAGGGCGGGGAGGGTTCAGAGGCTCCGGGTCACATGCCCGGCAGCAGATCGGTTCGAGCATTTAGCAGCACAAGCATATTCATCCCTGGGGGAGGACATTTCTGGAGCCTAGTTCCTTCACCCGCGATGGTCAGGAGCAACCCTCTGCCTCTGGTCCTAGGGGCCTCCGTGGCAACTTGGAAGATCCAGCAGTCCAGGCTTCTAAGCCTCTCCTGTCCCCTGGACACCTTGCCCCTGTCTCCTGTCCCATCAAGGGACCCTGACCAGGAAACGAGGTTTGCCTCCAGGCCTGGCTGGACTTGCCTCATTTTGCTTGTCTGCAAAATGACAACTCTGGGATGCTCTGGGGTTAGTGCCAGTAGGACAGCTGTAACAAATTACCACAGATTTATGGACTTTCTTTTCTTCTTTTTTTTAATCTTCACCCAAGAATATATTTATTGATTTGAGAGGGAGAGAGAAACATCAATGCGAGAAACATCGATCTGTTGCCTCCCATATGCTCCCTGACCAGGGATTGCACCCACAAACTAGGTGTGTGCCCTGATCGAAGAGGAGTGAACCCACAACTTTTTGACCTTTTAGTGTAAGGGACAACGCTCCAATCAACTGAGCTGTGCAGCCAGGGATAGGGATTTTCTTTGACATTTATTCTATGACAGTTCTGGAGGTCAGAAATACAAAATGGGTCTCAAGGGGCTAAATCCAGGTGTGGGCATGGCTGATCCTTCCGGGGGCTCCAGGGAAAATAATTTCTGGCCTTTTCCAGCTTCTAGAGGGGCTGCATCCCAGGCTCACGGCCCCTTCCTATGTCCTCACTATCAGCAGTGCCACTTCTTCCATCTCTGACTCTGACCCTCCTGCCTCCCTCTGATGAGGACCCGGTAATGACACTGGGCTGGCCGCCAGGGAATCCAAGGTCATCCACACATCGGGGTCCTTGACTTAATGCTGCCTGCAAAGTTCCTCTGTCTCATATCCACAGGTACAGAGACTGAAAAGGGGATGTCTTTGGGGGGTGCTATTCTGCATCAGGGCATAACTGAGCTTCCTGAAGCATGAAGCCAGCTCTGCCCTCTGCCTGGCCCTACGTGGAGTGTTGTTAGCACAAACAGAACTCAGAGCCACTCCAAGCCTGGGGCCTGGCCTGGCAGAAAGCTGACCCTGGCCCCTGAGCCACTCCTGGAGTCAGCCAGCAGGGAGAGGCGCTTGGCTGTGAGATAAGATTTGGGAGCAGGTGAGCTGAGTGGTGCAGCCTGGCCAAGCACAGGGCTTCCTCCACATTCGCCTCCCTTTTTCTCTTGGCCCCCAATACCCAACCAGCCACACTCTGGTCTTCCTCTCTGTCCCCCTCTGGTTGTGCCCCTCCTAGGACCTGTACACATGCCGTGAAAGCCTCCACCCTCTTCAAAACATGATGCCCCAGGTCACTGTCGGGAATAGGAAACCTGGCTCCCCTGAAAGCCACCTGAGTGTCCAAGGCCTTGGACGTGGCAGAGAAGCGATGACAAGCCAAGTGCCCCATCGTCAGTCACTGCACAGGGTGATGCCCTTTGGCCATCTTCTGAACCAATCCTGACCACCCCCTGGCCCTTGGGACTTCGGGTGACTGATCCCTGAGAGGCAGGACTTGGGCAGTGCTACCCACTTTCACAGTGGGGCGGGCCCCCAGCCTGCAGAGACAACCACAGCCTGGTGGGCTGCACAGCCTGGAGCTCCTGGCCACACCCGCCCCTGCTTTCCTTGCTCCCTGCCCCCGCCAACCCCCCCACCCCCCAGGAGAACTGGAGCCCTGGCTCTTGCCCCAGACTGCTGAGCCACTGGAATGGAGTGTGAGCTGTGAGTCAGCCAACAGGAAGAGACACTTACAGCCAGTTGCATCAGATGTTCCTGCCTCGTGGTCCCACTGCCAGGGGCCCTGGCCCCTGACCCTCACTTATCTAGGGAACTCCTGGGGCTTGTAGTTCCTGTCCCTGGGCAGGGGGCGGGTCAGACAGGTGAGAATATGCAGAGAGGATGCAGGCCAGGCTGGGTGCCAGCCCAGGACTCTTGACTCCACCCCCCCCATACCCATAACCACTCCAGTCTCTAGCGCTGACCTTGATTCTAGCTTAGAAGCTGGGCTGGGATCTGGGCTCCTTGCCCCTACCACAGTAGCTCAGCACTAAAGGGCCAGCCCTGTGACCCTCTGAGCCTCAGGTGTCTGGCTCTGAGTGGAGGAGAGAATGACCATCCTCTCAAAGGCACAGGCTTGTGAGGATACTGCGATGGTCCCAGTACCAGCCCCATAGCACCCAACCCCACGCACGGGCACCCCTGACCTCATGTGTGCACACACCAGGCAGATGCATGCACGTTCCCCACACCTCCATTCCACTCTCAGAGATGCACTGGCTCAGTGCCTCTGTGAACATGCACAGACACACACACACACCCCAGCCTGCTCACACTTGCATACACATCACACTGGTGCCAGTTTTTTAATGTTGGGGGACAAAGGTCTTTACTGTCACTCCCTGGTAGGGTTGCCAGAAAAAATACAGGGCACCAGTAAAATTTGAATTTCAGGTAAACAACGAATAATTGCTTGAGACATATTTATACGTGGGACTCATGCTGAAAAGTTATTCACCGTTTATCTGAAATTCAAGTTTTACTGCCATGCTCTGTTTTATGTGCTAAGTCTGGGAGCCCTACCTGCTGGTTGTGGAGGCTCTGGGCTGCCTGGGATTCCCTAGTCAATACCCAGGAGGTGAACTCTGAGCCCCAACTGAGCCCCCGACTGAGCCACCAGGAGGCCAGGGCTCCAGCCACCTGACCAGGTCAAAGTGGATGCCGCCCACCCAGCCTGTCTCCTCCTGGCTCAGAGGAGGCAGAGGGAAGCAGAGACCCCAGGGCTGGCAGTCAGGACCTGCCTTGTGTCTCCTCTGGGGTTTTGGGATGATCCTACATGTGACATAGGCTGAGAGTCACCCTGCAGAAGTGAGGGGCTTCTCAAGGGCTGGCTGGAGGTGGACAGGGCACCTCCCAGAGAGCCAGCTCCCTACACCTTTGGCCCAAGGTTTGCCAAGTCCCCTCCATGACTGGGGTGGGAAAGGCATTTACTGCCAGTCTCTCCTTTTCCTGGCCATCACCTCCCAGAAACTTCTTCCTGCTCTGGGAGCGTCAGGCTGGCCCCTGGCCCTCCAGGACAATCTTGAGTCCCCCTCCCAGGCAGCCCATTTTCCATGGCATCTTTTGGTGGGAAGTATCCTTGTCTTGGGCCCTGCCTGTCCTGCCCATCAGCCCTGTCTGGACCTGCCTCTTGCTGACTTGTCACTGCCCCAGACTGGATGGAGGAAACCTGCTGCCCGGAAACCAGAAGACTTGAGAATAGGGGCCAGGCTTCCTGCCTCACCTTCCTGGCAGGTTCCTTCCACCCAGGGGCAGGTTGGATCTACCTCCCAGAATTAGGGGAGACCCTGGAGACCCCAGGAAAAGCAGACAGAGTGGGAAGGACCAGATGTGCCCCCAGATGTACCTTCCAGCCCTCCCACCCTCCCCAGACCCTAAGAACCCAACACCTCCGGGAGCTAGGCCTGTAAAGAGGGCGATTCTCCAGGAAGATGGCAGGTATTGGCTGTCTGGGGTTGGTGGCCAGCCTGCATCAGGACAGCGCTGAGACCTAAGAGCCAGCAGGCAGGGCACAGAGGTCCTTCCGCTTTGCTGTTTCCCGCTAGCATCCCCCCTCGCCCCCAGAGCAGGCTGGGCTGGGGTTGTGCCTGGCTGTCTCACTCAGGCCAGCACGGCCAAGGCACCCACGGATGCCTGCACTAAGTCAGTCCCAGTGCTAGCCCTCGTGCTTCTACAAGTCCATGGACTCAAGGATGGCTGGCACCACCAGGTGCTGGAAGAAGCTGGAATGATCCTCCCCTAAAGTCTACCAGCCAGGGCGTGGCCCTGCTGACACCCTGATTTCAGATTTCTGGCCTCCAAAGAGAGAGAGTATAAATTTATGTTATTTTAAGCCACCCTGTATGGTACTTGTTAGAGCAGCCACAAGAAGCTATCACACTTAAACAACCGCTGTAACAGGCACACACACAACCCCACACACGTGCGTGTGTGTGAACACATATATAAATGCTCAAACACATCCCTTCTTTTCAACAATACTCAGTGAGCACTTCCTGCCTGTGAGCCAGGTCCTGCACTGGGCAGTGACTAAATCTGTGCCTTCATGGAGCTGACCTTCTGCGGAGGGGCAGTGGCTCATCAGTACCCACTTTGCCATCCAGAAGTGCATGAAGACATGCAGGTGACCACATACACACAGGAGGCAAACAACAGCCAAATGACCAGAGAGGTGGGAGGATGAGGAAGGACCCATGACTTTCCCTGGGCAGACAGGTATGGCAGTCCAGCCTCAGGCACCTGGAGCCAATGTATGTGTCTACACACACACACGTGCACATGTGCACATGCAGAGGATGACTGGGGAGCTTCTTCCAAACGACATGGGGGGCTGGCTGAGGTTTGGCCTTACAGCTCCTATGGCCTGAGCTGTGGTCTTGTGGGGGAAACATATAAATAGAAGTGGCTGGTGGATAAGGGGACAGTCCACCTTTGGGTCAGCAGGGCCTGGCTGGGGGAGTTGGGAGTGGGTGGCTGGAGGCCTCTGGAAGAACAAGCTAAGGCCTGGAGGACAGGAGGACTCCAACTTGCAGGCCTGTGCCCCCCATGTACCCAGGCTGCTCCACTGGGCTGGGGGAACAGGGAGCTGGCAGGGCTGATTATATCTTATCCTGGGTCGGGTGCCCGAGCAGAAATGGGATTGTTTTACCTCCTGTCCTGGTCCCCCACCCCATCAGTCCAGAAGAAACCCTCCTTTGCAGGACTGAGGGAAGGTCCTTCATGGATCTTAGTACCTATCCCCTACTATGGTCCCTTTTCCCTAACAGGATGAAACCCTAGGGAAGTTCAAAGCCTGTTCGAGTGTGTCTGGAGGGCAATTGGCGCCTGGATCAGGGAGCTGCAAGGCAGGTTCTAGTGGAGAAACGTCGTCAAAAAGAGTCAGTGTATCCTAGGACCTGGGCGGCACACTAGGGGACCAGCCAGAGGGCAGGGCCAGGATCCAGCTCCCGCTCCATATCGGAGTCCTGCAGGCCTCCCCAAGTCTCAAACAGGCCCTCCTGCAGCCGCCGTAACCCCTCCTCTATCACGCGCCCCTATCACAGCACGCTGCACAGCGCAAGCTCAGATACGTCCAGAGCGAGCAGCTCAGTCAAGCCCGTCGAGCCCTCCCAACTCCGCCCCCTCCGCGCGCGTGTGGGCGGGGGCCCTAGGGGCGGGGTCTACGTCGGGGCGGGGCCTTCCCTGGCCCTTAAAGACGGCGGCGGCAGGGCGCGCGCGACTCCACTCGGCAGCGGTGGCGGCCCGGGTGGTGGGGGTCTACGGTGGTTGTGGTGGTGGCGGCGGCGGCGCTGCTGTTCCCCGCGCGGTCCGCGCTGCGCGTGTCGGGCGGCGGCGGCGGCGGCGGCGGCGAAGGAACTGCGGCCCCGGCCCGACCCCGACCCCGGTGAGTGCGGCCCTGCGACCCCGGCCCGGCCTGTCCCCAACCCGGGCGCGGGGATCGGGCCCCGCGGAACCTCGCCGTCCAGGCCTGGGCTCCCGGTGCGCTGGCCGCGGCCACTGACGCCCTCCTTTGTCTGCTCCCTCCTGCAGGGACCCTTCCCTAGCCGCCCCGCGCCCACGGGCCGCCCCCGGGGCCCGTAGTCCCCTCCCCCGCTGGCGGGGCCCGGACAGAAGATGGTGCAGAAGAAAACAGCCGAACTTCAGGGCTTCCATCGTTCGTTCAAGGTGAGGGCCTTGTTGGTTTCAGGGGCGCCCCGGCCTTGGCCACCCGAGTGGCCGGTGGGAGAAGCTCGGAGCTCATCCTTAGGATCCCCAAGGCTCCTGCCCGCCCCCCCCCGCCGGGCCCTGGGGCTGCCCCAGCGGTGTGTGCGCGGGTGGTGGAGTCAGCGACCGACAGTCCAGTCTCATGCGCCCTGGGTCCTCTAGAGGCTTTCCTCTAGGAACTCTAGGCCGGCCAGGGGCCCCTGCCTGTGGGGGCCCTTAGTTATGAGTACCCTGCAAGCCCCAGCTGGTGTATAGCGCAGGGTGGGGCGTCAGCAGGCCACAGTCCTGTTGCCAGCACCATGAGGTCTGTGGGGTCCTTCCTCCAAGAGCCCCAGGCAGGGCTGCAGGGCTGCAGGCCTACCCCTCCCACACATGCCCTCCTAGGTGGTCTGAGGAATGGGATTGTAGATTGGATGCCCCCCACCCACGCTCTGCACCTCCCAGACACCCCAGGCCCAAGTACTATTTCCTGTTGGAGCGGGAAGTTTCTATGGTGGCCCCATAGCTTCAGAGTCTTGGTCTCAGAGCAAGTCTAGGGGGTCGGGCAGGTGCTGGGCAGGGGCTCCAAAGGGCCTGGCCCAAGGGACGCAGTGATGTCAGCAGCCACCCCACCCCGCCTGTCAAGTTATGTAATGGCTTTCCTGGGCCTCTTTGGGCAGGGACCTGTTGCCCTGTAGAGGAGGCAGGACCTGGGTGTGTGTATGTGTGTGTGTGTGTGTGTGTGTACAGAAAAGCGAGACACCAGGGTGGGAGGAGCCAGCCTAGAGTGTTTGGGTTAGAATTCCCAGGCCTGTCCAGCCAGCGTTTCCTGCCAGTGCCCCACCCCGTGCACATGCACGTCATCCCCCCACAGCATAGTGACAGTCTTGGCGTGTCCAAGTGGCTGGGGCTGGGTGGGAGGGAGGTGGACTCAGGATCTCACTGGTGGTGGTCTGTTAACTCCTGGGGCTGGATCTGAGCTGAGACAGGGTCAGTGGGCAGGGCCAGCTCTGCGGTCAAAGCATACTCAAACTTTCTGGATGGTTCCAGCCACCTCCTGCCAAGGCCTGCTGACTGGAGGCCCACAGCCAGCCCTGGGCCTGGCCCGCCTACACTGCCTAGGCCTGAAGGCTGGCGTTTGCAGGCCGCCTGAGAGCCCTGTGCCCTGTGCTGAGGTGGGGCTGGGAGAGTCTCATGGGAGGGAGTAGGGACACTGGACGGGGAATCTTGGCTGAGGTGGCTATCCAGGGTCCAGCCCTTTTGAGTTGGGGGCTGGGACAGACATATGGGGATGGCAAAGGTACACCCATGATCCCCCTTGGGTCCTTGCACCTTTATGCAGTTGTTGGGGACAGCTTCCTTGTGTCCTAATCATCCCCTTCATCCTATTCATCCCCTTTTGTGGCTTCCCTGGGGCCCCTCGTTTCAGGTGGAAGATGGAGACTTACCAGAGCATTGACTACAGTCCCCATGGGAGCCAGTCTGCCCCAGGAGCAGGGGCAGGGGCTGGTGGATGAGTGTCAGCAGACTGGCTGCAGTGGTTCCTTCCTCCCTTTCCCCTGTACCTCCTAACAAATATCTGCAGGGTGGGCAGGGAGGCTGGGAGGGCCGGCCTGTTATTCAGCTGCTCCCTCTGACCTCTGCCTGCCCCCTCTGCAGCTGGCCTGGCTTCCGGGCTTCTTGTCTGTAGGAATCTGGCCTGGCAGAGTGGGCCCCTCCGGGTGTCCCTAGGGTTCTCCTGGAGTTTCTTCTCTGTTGAATGACTCTCATCCCACAGCCCCAACCCCAGCTGTCACGAGGCCCAGAGAGGGCCAGTGACTTAGCCCAGTTCATCCAGCATTAGCCCTAGCACCTGTATTGCAGATACAGGCTCCCCCACCCCATGCCCACCAGGGCCCTGACCTCCTGGCCCCCCACGAGGTTGGGAGTTAAATTAGAACTAACTCCTGAAGGAACCCAGCCAGGTCTCAGTGCCCCAGCCTTGAAGTGTTTATGTGAGGGGCTGTCAGTCCTCACGCAGGATCATCTGCTCTGCAGAAATGGCTTTATCCCAGGAGCCCTCTATTTGCCACATAGGAGTTTTCTCCAATGCCCAGCTACCTGTCTTTCTTGGGCAGGGTCTGGTGACCTCTCCCTAGTTCCGGGGGCCACCCAGTGACCTTGAAGAGGCCCTTCTCTGACAGGGCTAGTTTCTTTGCTGGGCACTAGGCCTGTGAAGGTTGCCCTCCTAGGGGTATCTGGGGACAATGCAGGCTGTGGCCCTGGCAGAGGCAGCCCAGTGTTCATGCTAGAGCCTGTGGGTGCCTCTCCTGTGAGCTGCGGGGGAATGGTGGAACAGGAGAGAGAGCAGCATAAGGCAGGGAGGTTGATGGCGCCCCATTACAGAGGAAGGGCTGAGCCCAGGAGGCTGTGGGAAAGCAGGCAGGGCAGCTAGCTGGGAGCTCCACCCTAGAGCTGATAAATCACCCCGCTGCTGACAGCTCTTCACCTTTGATCCCCAGCCAGCTGTCCCCATTTTGCAGATGAGCAAATCAAGGTACCCACAGTGACTCGCACCTGCTCCCTGGCGGCCCCAAGGGCCCTGGGCTGGGGGTAGAAGGTCTATTTCTTCATGGTCAGTCAGAACCAGGCTTTCTCTCCCTTGGCTTATGTACGCAGGCCAGGTCACTCTGTGATAGACAGCCCTGGCAGCAACAGGGCCTGAGAGCTTACTCCTCTTCTCCTCTGCAGGGGCAGAATCCTTTCGAGCTGGCCTTCTCCTTAGAACAAGCCCACCCCGGGGAGACTGACTTCAGCCTGGAGTGCCCAGCCCGCCCTGGTGAGGGGCCCAGGAGGGTGGGGACTGGGTCGGAGGGCTAGGTGGTACCTGCGAGCTGCAGGGGCCAAATGGGCCTTATGTCCCGGTCTCCTGATGTAGATATGCCCACGAGCCAGCCCATCGACATCCCAGATGCCAAGAAAAGGAGCAAGAAGAAAAAGCGGTGCCGGGCAACTGACAGCTTCTCGGGCAGGTTTGAAGGTGAGTAGGGTGGGCGGAGCCAGGGACAGTGGGGAGATGACTAGGCCACCCAGGGTGGCTCTCACTACCACCCATGCTCCCCAGATGTCTACCAGCTGCAGGAGGATGTGCTTGGGGAGGGTGCCCACGCCCGTGTGCAGACCTGTATCAACCTCATCACCAACCAGGAGTATGCTGTTAAGGTGAGCACAGTGCCCTCACCTGTCCCCTTACCTCTTCCCAGCAGCGCCTGGGATCTGGTGTGGACCCTGGTAGTGGGAGGAAGGCAGCTGGCATTCAAGCTCCTGGACTCAAAACTGGGGAAAACCAGTGTCTAAAAATGGCCCCAGGGCCAGTGACTCAGGCTACCCCTAGGAATCCAGGTCAGCCTGCACCGAGTCCCCACATCCAGGCAGAGACGGGAAGTGACTCTGAAGGGCAGCCCCTTATGCCGGTGGCTGAGAACCTGGTACCAGAATGGCCACTAAGAGTGGGGCAGGGCTTTTATCAAAGCTGATACTCGCCTGCTGGGTAACCTCAGGCTGGCCCCCAGGGACAACGAGTGTCCCTGGGTTAGTTACTAGGATTAAAAGGCAATACCATGCTTAGGGCTCAGCATTGAGGGAGACCAGGGGAGAGCCTCCTTCGTGCTCCATGTGGCCTCTGACCCAAGGTATGGCCTGGGACCTGTGGCCCTGTGACCTCTGTTGTCTGACCAGACTGTTGGACTCTGCATTCCAAGAAACCTTCCAGGCTCTTCTCACGACCCTGCATTTAGGCTGGGCGGGGTTTCAGGAGGCTGGTTGCCCAGGCGGGGAGGCCAGGTGCTCCCTGGCAGGTACGGCTGACCAGAAACTTCAGGCTGTGGTGGAAGTCCAGTCACAAAGGTGGCTGTGGTCGCTGCCCCCTGGAAGCTCCCAGGTGCAGTGGGCAATGGTGTGGAAGAATTAAACACTTAGAATGGAGCCCTGGCTGGTGTAGCTCATTGGATTGAGTGTCAGCCTGCCAGCCAAAAGGTCACCAGTTCAATTCCCCGTTTGGGCACATGCCTGGGTTGCAGGCCAGATCCCCAGTGGGGGTATGCAAAAGACAAGTGATTATTTCTCTCACACATCGATGCTTCTCTAAATAAAATCTTAAAAAAAACAAAACAAAACCCAAACACTTAGAATGGAGCACCTTGTGCATACCAGGGGTATCTCTGAGCACCTTTCCCCTAAGGAGCCTGCTGGGGAGCCTGGCTTACTGTCACTGTTTGACAGATAGGGAAAGAGGCCCTGGAATCTGGTTCTTTTGCCCCTCTTTGGGACAGGTGTGTTTGTTACTAGATACGTGGGACAGTGCATACACCCAGATCTTAGAGGCCAGTGGGCTTGTGTGCCTGCCTGCTGCAGGACCCTGGCCCATGGAACACACTGCATTCCTTTCCTCAGGGCTGCTGTGGTGGGCAGGGAGCCCTGGGCATGGGTGGTGACACAGCCTGCTCACACTCCCAACCAAGAGGGGACCTGAGGCACCTTCTGACCCACCTCTCTGTGAGCAAAGGTGGCCGGAAGGTCATGTGGGTGATGGGCCCAGAACCTTCTGGCCCTGAGCTAGAGCTCCTGGGTGCCAGGCAGGGCTGGGACTGAAGTGTGGGTTGGTTTGCCAAGGCTCTGGAGTCTGGGGGGCTGGGTCTGCTGGTGGGCAGCAGGGCCACTCTGGGCTGGCCTGAAACACCCAGGCTCGTGGCGCCACAGACATCAACACAGACTGGTGTGGGACTAGGGAGGCAGGACTTGGCACAGAGGCAAGTGGGTATGACTTGGCTGGCAGCCAGGTGCCCAGAGGCCCCTCTAGTACCCTGGGTGGTATGGGAGCCAACACAGTGGCCACCCGTTTCCTCGTCAGGAAGGAGACGCTTCTCAGTCTAAGGGAACCTGCCATTGTGAAGAGGTATTCCCAGGTCCCAAACACATCCCTGAGGCTTGTCAGGGTCAGGAGTGGAGAGGGCCTGGCTCCTTTTCTCTGCCTTCCTGTCCCACTCACCCCTCCCTCGGTGTTGCTCAGGAAACACATTGCCCCACTATTTGTGCTGATAATGCAGTTCTGACTTCTGGCAAATTCTGGGTCCCCATAGGAGAGCTCTGCTTTCTAGAGCTTAACGATCTAAAGCTCTAACAGTTTCAGGCGTGGCACAGGGAAAGTTTTTGGTGGGGGCCCCTTGGGCTTTGGAAAGTCAGGCTGACCCATCTGCTGTGTTCCCCCACCCCCACACCTTTCAGATCATCGAAAAGCAGCCGGGCCACATTCGGAGCAGGGTTTTTCGGGAGGTGGAGATGCTGTATCAGTGCCAGGGACACAGGTAATGTGACTCACCCTCAGCCCCAAGCCATATTTTAGCAGATGAATGGGCCTGAGAGCCTCTTACCCGCAGCAAGCATGTAGGAAGCTCCCACTGTGTTCCGGGCCATTGCGGTTGGGCCCAATGTTAGGGAGCAGTTCAAGGTTGGCGAGGTGGAAGGAGGCCTGTGGACCAGTCCCAGCCTTCCTGTGGGCAGGTGGAGGTGGGGAGGGCAGGCCCCTCCTGGACTGGGCATGCACAAGGGCCTTACTCCTATCCTCACTCCTGTCCTGCCCCCATCCCTCCTGCCCCAGGAACGTTCTGGAGCTGATTGAGTTCTTCGAGGAGGAGGACCGCTTCTACCTGGTGTTTGAGAAGATGCGGGGCGGTACGTGGGGGTCCAGGAGACATGCCCAGAGAGGTCCTAATGAGCTGTGGGCTCAAGGCCACCATGAAAGACCTTTTAGAGGGTCCTCTACACCCAAGGGGGGGGGGTTGGGGTCTGAGCTTCCTGTCCACACAGTAGCTCTGTTCAAGAACTTTGGGCTGAAGGAGGCCAGAGTGGGGACTTCCCTGCCGGGTGGGAAGGGCTGCTGGGTGGTGGCCTGGGGACACAGAGGTGATCCTTACACATTTTTTTCCCTCCATCATGGCCTGGCCCCAGGCTCCATCCTGAGCCACATTCACAAGCGAAGACACTTTAATGAGTTGGAGGCCAGCGTGGTCGTGCAGGACGTGGCCAGCGCCTTGGATTTCCTGCATAACAAAGGTGGGTTGTCTGCTCAGGGTGCCACCTATTTCTCACCATCCTGCCTGGGTTCTGTGGGTGTCCAGCCTTGCCCCCAGCACACCTGCTCAGGGCTCCTGAAAGATATGCCCACCCCACCCACTGACCCTGCCTCTTGGTTCTACCCACAGGCATTGCCCACAGAGACCTAAAGCCAGAAAACATCCTTTGTGAGCACCCCAACCAGGTATGGGAATGGGGCGGGGGGGGGGGGTGCGGCGGTGGCATTCCCTGTGGGATGTGGTGGATGGGGCCCTGTGCAGGTTGGACAGGAGCCCCACCTCACTCCCTTCCCAAACCCCTCCCAGGTCTCCCCTGTGAAGATCTGTGACTTTGACCTGGGCAGTGGCATCAAACTAAATGGGGACTGCTCCCCCATCTCCACCCCAGAGCTGCTAACTCCGGTGAGGGCCCCAGGGTCAGGCGCAGGCTGGGAATGGGGCGGGGGGCGGGGGGGGGGGGGCAGGTGTTGGGGAAACTGGGACTGCATCCTGTCCCAAGCTAAGATACTGAGCTACTCACACGCTGGGGCCTCGGAACTCTGGCTTTCCCTTAGCAACAGCCGATGATTGGCCTTTCGGGTGTGATAGGGCGGGGCCGTGGTCAGGCAAGGAGGGGCGGGCCGTCAGCACCTGTTGATTGGGCTGGGGTTGGGGTTGAGGCGGGGCCAAGGTAAGGGGGCGGGGCTGGCACTCGTCATCAGCCTATGATTAGCCAGGCAGGGTTGTCATTCATAGCGGGCTCAGGCTCAGGTGACTGGGCGGCCCTGTGCCTCTGTTACTCTGGGAAGTCCCTGTAGGTTGCCCCCTCCTCCTCTGCGTCTTGTCACACACACCCCCTCCCTTTCCCACAGTGTGGCTCTGCAGAGTACATGGCCCCTGAGGTGGTGGAGGCCTTCAGCGAGGAGGCCAGCATCTACGACAAGCGCTGTGATCTCTGGAGCCTGGGTGTCATCCTCTACATCCTGCTCAGTGGCTACCCACCCTTCGTGGGCCACTGTGGCAGCGACTGCGGTTGGGACCGCGGTGAGGCCTGCCCAGCCTGCCAGGTGCGCAAGGGACCTGCTGTGCGCCCCCACCCCTTGCGCTGTGCGGCTCTCAGTGCTTGGTCCCCGAACGCTGACCGCATCCACATAGTGCTGGCCTGACCTTCGCAGGTTTCTTGAGGCTCTTGGGGTCCCCTCCCCTATAGCAGAGAACAGTTCGTTCAGGTGGCTGCGGTGGAGTGAGGCCTATGGTTTGGGGTGACGGGGCTCCTGTTTCCTGTATAGGGCCGGAGGCCCAGAATTCAGATCAGGGAGCCCTCAGGAGGGCAGCTCTCCAGAGCTTGTTGTCTGAGTAGCCAGTCCAGGGTCCTTGTACGTGGTTCCTGGGCCTCAGGGCAGGGCTCAGGACCCTGGCAGAGCCTGTCAGTGTGGCAGCCCCCCAGGGGTCCAGACTTGCCCATCAGATGTCTGGGCCCTTTGGGCTGTGGCTGACCCTGCCTGCGGGTCCTCCCCCAGAACATGCTGTTCGAAAGCATCCAAGAGGGCAAGTACGAGTTTCCCGAGAAGGACTGGGCCCACATCTCCTTCGCTGCCAAAGACCTCATCTCGAAGCTGCTGGTTCGCGATGCCAAGCAGAGGCTGAGCGCTGCGCAGGTCCTGCAGCACCCCTGGGTGCAGGGGGTGAGTACCAGCCCCACTGGGGCCAGCAGGGCATGGGGACTTTGCCTCTGTCCAGCCCCCAGTGGCCCAGGTTGTGATTCAGAACAAACGTGGGAGAACCCTCGGGGCCCAGTGTCAGCCCCCTGCTGCGGTGTGGTTCTGGGGCTTGGTCACGGTCATCCTCGGGCCCAGGAGCCCCAGGAAATCTCCCCCGCCTGCTGGCCAGGTTGGGGCGGAGCTGCAGGAGCTGCTTAGCAAATCCCCAGCCTGTGCTCTGGAGCTCTCAGGCCTCTTCCCGCCTGGCACAGAGCAGCAAGCTAAGGTCAGCCAGGGAGCAAATGGGTGGGCAGCCAGCCTGAGACAGGGTTCTGTTCCCTCTGACCCCAGAAGAGCCTGGCATTTCTCCCTGCCAGTGGTCATTCAAGCTGGGACCACCAGGGCAGGGCGCCCAATGGTAACCCAGAAGAAGGGGCTCTGAATTCTTGCTGGGAGTTTCAGGAGACTCTGACTGAGAAGGGAGAAGAGGGCCTGGGCCAGGAATGGTTAGGCAGGGTGGCTGTTGAGCCACCAGGCCTGGGGAGCCGCTGGCCTCCACCACAGGCACTCCTGAAACACCCGCTTCACCCCAGCTTGCCTCAGCCTCCAGGCAGGTGTACTCCTTGACCCTCGGTGTCCCAGACAGCTGCAGGCCTGGGAGGGCTGGCCCTGGGGAGGGCGGGCCTGGCTCTGTTCCTCACTCTGCCTCCCTGGTCCCCTTGCAGTGCGCTCCGGAGAACACCCTGCCCACGCCCATGGTCCTGCAGAGGTGAGGCCCACGACCTCTTGGGGCCTGGAGGGGGAGCCCCTAGTGCAAGGGGGTTTTGTGTTAAAAGTTAAATTCTTTAAAAAGACAAAATCAATCCCCTTTAAGTTATAGGGGAAGCAGCTCAGGCACGGGGCGTCCTTGTACTCAGTGACGGGTTAGGCCCTGGGCTGGGGTTGGGGGCACTGAGGGCCTGCAGCCCCTCCCCCAGGGCACTGCACGGACCCTGGGGTTCCAAGGGAAGCAGGGGGTGCAGCTGGCAGCCATCTCCCCCTCTTTGGTGACTTTCTTGCTCTGTCCCTAGGAACAGCTGTGCCAAAGACCTCACGTCCTTCGCAGCCGAGGCCATTGCCATGAACCGGCAGCTGGCCCAGCGCGAGGAGGACGAGCTGGAGGAAGTGGAGCAGGGCCAGCCCGTGGTCATCCGACCTACCTCACGCTGCCTGCATCTCTCCCCACCGTCCCAGTCTAAGCTGGCCCAGCGGCGGCAGCGAGCCAGTCTGTCAGCAGCCCCTGTGGTCCTAGTCGGGGACCACGTGTGACCCCTCCCTCCCTCTGTACATTGGTCGCTCCCTCCCCCGTTAGATCTCAAGAGTTTTTTAAGCTATTGCCAGCCAGTGACCAGCGGGCTGCGCTACCCGCCCCCTCCCCCCACCATGGGTTCTGAGTTGCTCAGCTCAGCTGGGGGTGTCTTTTTATATAAAGTTTTTGCTGTTGGGTTTTTCCTTTTTTTCTGTCCCCTATCCCCATTTTTTCCCCTTTGAATGGTGTTAAAAGCAAACAGGTGCCCTGGGAGAAGAGCAGAGGGTGTGTGTGCTGCACGTGCCCCCGCCCCGCCACCCTGGCCCCACACACTCACCTGTACTGTGAAAGGCCCTGTGCCCGTGCCCCTGCCCGATGTGACTCAGGAGAGGAGGACCGTAGCTGTCTTCCAGAGCTGGGGGGCCCCGGAACACACACCCCTCCCCATCCCCGGCCCCACCGTGTTCTCAGGACTGGACCGACCCCGCACCTCCTTTCCTCCCGAAGGCACTCTGGGGGCCGGCAGTGTCCCGAGAGTGGGCCAGTGGGGCGGAGAGCTGCCAACTAGACCCATGCCCACTGGGTGCTCTGTCTCGGGGAGCAGGCCACTGGAGGAATGGGAGGGGCTGGACTGGCACCTGTCAGCCAACATGGAGGTCCTGGAAAGCCCCCCACCCCAGGCACCCAAGTGCCCCTGCTCAGGGCTCAATCTGACCACGGCTGCATCCCTGTTGACCGTTGGGTTGGTGTAGAAGCTCCGTCAGCCCTGCCTCCTCCCCTCCCTGGAGCCAGGGCTGGCAAGGGGTCCTGCTGAATCCCCTCTCCCTCAAAGGCAGCATTTCCACTCTGCCCACCTTCAGGAAAACCGCCCCTCAGGCACCCAGGAACCATCCCACCCCAGTACCCAGGTCAGATGTCGCATGACCCGCTGGGCTTGGGGAGACTCTGACACCCCTCTTTGTCCTCGGGTGGGAAACACTATGCAATACAAGCTTCTTCCTTTGTGCACGCGTGTGCTTCTGCCAGCAGGGCGGCCCCCCCGCCCTCACCAGGGCAGCTCAGCCCGGGTTGCGGCTGGGTCTTCAGGCAAGCCAGCTGGACAGCCCTCTGGCGTCTAGTTTTTCATTCTGTTCCATTAGTTTTTTAAGAACATCAGTTGACTTCCCTTTCCTATTCTTGAAGAATACTTGAATGTCGGGGGGCCTCGTGGGCAGGGGGGCTGGACACTGACCCCTCCCCCGAGTCTTGTACAGTTGTTGCCGTCTGCAGGCCGGTGCCCGTCCCCACCCACCTGACTGTGGGCTGGCCGTTCCAAAGACCCCGGGTGGGGCAGCTGCCCTCCCCTCCATCATAGCTTGCCCATCAGTGGTTCAATGTATCACAACTGGGGGTTCTGCCTTTTTGTGAAAGAAATGAGGCCTCACCCAGCTACAGGTGTTGTGGCCACTTCAGTCTGGAAAGCTGAGCTGTGAGCAGCTTTTTTTTTTCCCCTCAAAGGTGGGACAGCCACTTCCTCTCCCCTATCATGTCTACAGTGCAACCTGGAGGACTGGCCAGAACCGTTACTGTGAATGGGCACCGGGGTCCTAGGGCTCCAGGGCCCCGGGCTGCTAGGCTGCTCTGGCCCTGGGGGAAGGGGCAGTGGCAGTGTTTCCATGTTAAGATGTGTTTGAAAAGACAACTCAAGTTTTTTAAAAGTGGGGGAAAAACACCAAGCACTTTAACTCCACTGTACCAGGCACACTGATGCAGCTCAGTTCTCCTCGACACCAACTGTCAGTGCCGGAATTTTGTATTCTGTTTTATAAGGATTTAATAAAACTCATAAAAACTTGTCCTGGTTTTCTGTTGCCACAAAGCAAGTTGCCCCAAACCTAGTTAGTGGCTTTAAACTGTTGACAGTGATGTGGATTGCAACTCGGCGTGTGGGGCTGGCTCATCTGGGGGGTGGGGTGGGGGGGGTGGGGATCAGGTGGCCCGCTCAGCGTCAGCCCCTGGGACCCTCTGTAGCTTCCCACACAGAGCATCGTGTTTTTGAGGTTCATCCACTCAAGCGAGTACCAGCACTTTGCTCCTTTTTGTGGTAATTCCAGTGTCTGGATAGGCCACGTTGTCTTTCATTTGTCCACGTTACCACTTTTGGCCACTGAATTGTGCTGCTGTGGACACGCTTGCATGGATCTTTTGTGGACGTTTGTGTTCGTTTCTCTTGGGTGGACCCCACAGAAGGGCTGTGAGCAGGGCAGAGACCCGATCGGATGTCGGCTCTGGAAGGACCGTTCTTGTCACCACGTGGAGTGTGGACTCGGGGCCCAAAGGGCCTGGTGAGCCACTGCCACCCTGGAAGGCAGCCTGGCAAGGGACAGCAGGCCTGGTGGGGGCGATGCCGGGCAGATCACAGCGTGATAAACGCCAGGCAGTGTGAGGAGGTGACCCCACCAGAACCTGGGGACAGTCTTGATGCTGAACGGGCGGGAGTGAGAGGGGGCTCTCTGGGTTGTTGGGAGGGAAAGCACACCTGGCAAGGTGTGGGCACTAGGATCCCTGAAGATAGCAGGGTGCAGCAGGTCACCCTTTTCCTGCCTAGAAATCTGAGATCAGGTGGCACACCCTCTTGCCACCTGGCCCTTCAGGAGGGAACCTGGGTACCCTTAAGCCTGCCCCTGCCCCCTCCATTTGTCCGGCTCCCTCCCAGACCCTTCCTCTCAGACCCCACAGCTACCCACCCCCGGGCCAGGCCACCGCCAGCCCCCCTCCAGGACCATGGCTCAGCCAGGTCTCCTGGCCTCCCAGCCCCCAAAGGCCACATCTCAGTTTCCCCAGGCTCCTCTCGTCCCTTGCCTGGCCTCGCCCATGTGTGTGGGTGGGGAGAGGTGGGTGCTACACGCCAAGCCACCACCCTCCCAGGTGGCACGGAACCCTGCCAGTCCATGCCAATGACCGTTCCCTGCCCCCTGCCGCCTGCCAAACCCTGCAGCCCAGCACAGCTTGTTCCCTGAGCCTCTGCTACAGATTTTATGTTGGTGGTTTCCTCTTGGCAGATCCCGCCCTTCCACGTCTCTCCTCCAGGAGCAGCAGGAAAATCCCGGAGCTGGAGCAGCTGGGAGCATTTCCTCGGCTGGCGGCTGCGGCTGCGCTGGCTGCACAGGGCCCAGTCTCCACCTGGGTAAACAGAGACGCCAGCTCGGGCTCCCCGGCTGCCTGCAGGCACTGTCCTCACATGTCCCAGTGGGGGCTGTCAGAATGACATCTGTTACTTGGGGAGCTGCCCTCACTCCCCTTGACGAGACAGCGGCCATGCTGATTTATGTGCAGTGCTAACACAGGAGGGTCAGGCAGGGCTGTGGAAACTTTTCCTAGTAATGGCACAGTTTTCCTGCAAACCTAAAACTTAAAAAGAATACATTTTGTTTTTAAACCGAAGTGAGAGAAGCCAGACACGAAAGGCCATGCAGTGTGTGATTCCTGTTATGTAAAATGTCCAGTACAGACACATCCACAGAGACAGGAAGTGGGTTCATGGTTTTCAGCGGAGGGGGGCGGGGGCAACTGTGATGGGGATGGGACTTCTTTTTGGGGTGATGGTTGCATGACATGGTAAATGTACTAAATGTCATTGGACTGTTCACTTTAAAAGAATGAGGTGTTTGTTTTTTTATCGTCACCTGAGGAAATGCTTATTGATTTTTAGAGAAGACGGGAGGGAGGGAGGGAGAGAAACATCCATCTGGGAAAGAAACACCCACCTGTTGCCTCTTGTACTTGCCCAGAGTGGGGACTGAACCCCCAACCCAGGCACGCGCCCTGACCAGGAATTGAACCTGTGACCTTTCAGTTTACGGGACGACACTCCAACTGACCGAGCCACACTCACCAGGGCTGAATTTCTTCTTAATAAAAATTAAAAGGATGAGCCCCGACCATATTGGTTCAGTGGGGTGGGCATCATCCCCCAAAGTGAAAGTTCCTCACTTCAGCCCCAGGTCAGGGCAGGTATGAGAGGCAACCAATCAATGTTTCTCTCTCATATCTGTTTCTGTCCTTCTCTTTCCCCCTCTCCTCCCCCTTTCTAATTTTTTTTAATTAAAGGGATGATGGGACCAAGTTTATGTAGGGCCTGGTACACAGCAGGTACCCAATAAGTGCACCAGGAGTGATTTAGCACCCCAAGGAATGGGGAGGAGGCTGGGGGTGCCTCCTCCTAGACTTAGAGACTTGCACCAGTTTTCATTCCTGTCATTGTCACTAATCCCCTTGGCAGGCCCTCCCTGTGAATCACCCCACATCACTGTCCTTCTTAATTTTCTCATCTCTGAAGGAAATCCGTGGCTTCCTGGTCTCAGATTCACTCAGAAGAGAGATAAATGGGTTTAAAACAAATCGTGATGGAATTGAGTCAGACATGAGGAAGAACATACACGCGGGTCAAAGCCTGACGGGGTGAGATGAGGTGAAGGGGGGGAGGCCGGATTCTTGCCTCTGGTGTGTGGACAGACAGCCGGAACCCGGCGGCTCTGGTCGAGACTGTGGTCTGTATTCATTCCCTCTGTGAAACCCACGCAGCACTGCCGCCCAGTAAGGTTTGGGGTCAGTGGGCAACCCCATGAAGGTGCCGTGGAATTTCCATCACTCCCTCATGGAGACTCAGTTTCCCCATGGGGAATGTGAGGGCAACAGCGTCATCTCTCTCCTGCCCCAGTTTCCCTTTTGTGACCTCCTGTGAGACTACAGAAGGCTCAGACACCGACGACAGGGGGCTTGCCCAGTGCCACACACGTGTCTTGGTGGGCAGGAGGCCTCCGAGGTCGGGGGTCCCAGAACGCCTACACCAAAGGCCCTTGGAGAGAGCTTCTGGTGAGAGACTACCAAGACACCAGAACAATTTGCAAAATGACAAACAGGGACACACTGGCATTGCCAGAGTTTTATGTGCATGTTCTTTGTGGCACCCACTCCATAGGTAGGGGGGTCCTATGAGGGTTGGGAGGTCGACCCCTGGTTATTCCTGGCCCAAGGTCATTACCCCAGTGACTCAGCCTTGTCCAACTTGTAGACCTTCATTGTGGATTGCAGTCCCCACCTCCCAGAATGATCTTACCCCTCGCTGCGGCTGCAGCCTGGTGTCAGGCACACAATGGCAAGAAACCAGCTCATGGCCTCTCCAAAATGGGGTCAGAACCAAGGAGGGGTGAGCAAGCCCCTGGCCTAAACAGGGGATTCAAGGGGGAATCAAAGAATGCAGTCATCAAGATCATATTTTGTGCTGTGAGTTTTTACAGTGACCATTGTAAATAGATTCACATGCAGTTACAAGAAACATTTTGCCGTTTCCCCCAGTGGTAACATTTTGCAAAACTCTATTACAATGTCACAACTGCAATGTGGACATCGCTACAATGCATCTTATCAGGAAGTCACCACTTTCCCTTGTATCCAGCGCGTGTGTGCGGTTCCCTCCTCCCTCGTCCAGCCGCAGGTCTCACAGCAAACAGTGTGTGTTCAGCCAAGGGAAGCTCAGCTCACCCACTGTTTCCACCTGGAAATGGACCCGCGTCACATATGAACCAGGCAGCTTCAGACAGAACTTTCTGGCATGATGAACACGTTCTCCATTTGCACTAACACCGAAGTCACCAGGCACAGGTGGCTATTGAGCCCTCGACGTGGCCAATGAGAATGAGAAACAGAAACAAGTTACTTCATTAACTTGTTTAAATTTACGTAGCCCAGTGGGCTGCTGGGGCCCTGGTGGGAAATCCCTCCCTCTTCAGTGAAAGAGGCCCAGCCTCTGTATTGTCCTGGGTTTCACCCCAAGTTGATTGGTCGCCAGCTCTCATGAACTCCATCCATCTGTCCGGTGCCCTGGACATACAGTGGTGCTCATAAAACGCTGTTGGAGGGAGAGGCCAAGTGACTGAGGTCTCTGGATGGCTTTCTAACACCCACCCTGTTTCCTCTGCGTGACAGGGCGCTTGCCCTGGCCCAGCTCTGTAAGATGTGGCGGGGGCTTTCTCCTGTCTTTCACACTCCTCACCAGGTTTCATGCTGGGCCACAGCCACCTGGGGTAACAAACTCTGCAGCAGTGGGTGGCATCTGGGAGGGGGGTCACCAGGACCCCCACCCTGGAGTGAGAGGTGGAGGCAAGGGCCAAGGACCCAGTGGGAGTGGAGTTCTATGAACTCCTGCATTTGGGGCCCTAGCTGGGAGGGCCCCTCCAGGCGACCCAGACACAGAGGAAGAGACAGTTTCGGTCGGGGAGCAGGCGTGGAGCTGCCCCGTCGTCGCTGTGCACGGGCAAGCCGCTGATGCGTCTGCAGCTGGAGAGGCTCTCCCGGAGTTTCTTTGATTTCACTCAGGTCTGCTCTGCCCCTCTGCCTCTCTTTCTCTACTTGGTCCCCGCCTTCTGGTCATGAAAGCAATACGTATTTGCTATGTCCCAGGACTATTTTATTTCCAAGGAGGAAAATATAGAAAACATATTTGTGCGGTGAGTTTTAACAAATTTGTACATGAATACATGTTTTCATGCAAGGCGTCCACACTGGGGAAGGAGAGGCAGCGGTCACAGCTCCCCTCCCCCTGTGGCGGGGAGGCCCGCCGCACGGTCTCTGCCCGCGGACGAGTTCTCCTGCGCGTCAGTGTGTCGGGTGACGTCATGGTCACCGGGAAGGTCGACTCTGTGGTTTGCTTTGCTGGCAGGTCCTGGCTCCTGGTCCTTCCCTTAGGCGCCAGATTGTGGGAGGGCTGATTTCTCCGTGGGAACGGCAAGAATTTGGGAGTGTTTCATGGGGACAGAGTTTCAGTCTGGGAAGATGAGAACCTTCGGGGCTGGAT